TTTTGGGTACCTCCCAGATTTACCCCATCACCACCAAAGCAGGTACCAAAAAAGTCGACTTTTTGGGTACCTCCCAGATTTACCATCGGACGTCATCGCTTGCATGAGCCCGGTGATGCTGAACCCTTCTTCCCACAGGAGATCGGTTTCTCCCGGCGACCCAACCCGTTGCCACCAAAGCAGGTAGCCAAAAAGTCGACTCGGCGCCCGCACTTGTGCTGAATCGATCGGTTTCTCCCGGTGACCCAACCCATCACCACCAAAGCAGGTACCCAAAAAGTCGACTTTTGGTGTACCTCCCAGATTTACCATCGGTCTAGGGTACATTCAAGTGCCACAAGTATCGGCGCCCGGACTTGGGCTGAATCGATCGAGCATTCCTAGGAAAATGCTAGAAAAGCCTTTGAAAGTTCCATAGGTTAGCAAAAGGTTACCAATTTTTGGGTGAAATCTGGGAACCTCAAAACAAGAGGAAGCGCTAGAAAATTCTTGGAAAAGCCTCCAGCCGAAAACATAACAAAATCTAGAGAAAGCCTAGAGCATTCCTAGGAAAATGCCAGAAAAGCCTTTGAAAATCTCATAAACCAACAGAAAACGTGACAAAATCTACGAAAAAAACAAGGGCATTGGCCGGGACCAGAAGGTCACTAATTTTTGGGGTAAATCTGGGAAGCTAAAAAGAAGAGGAAGCACTAGAGAATTCTTAGAAAAGCATTCAGCCGAAAACATAACAAAATTTAGACAAAGCCTAGAGCATTCCTAGGAAAATGCTAGAAAAGCCTTTGAAAGTGCCATAGGTTAGCAAAAGGTTACCAATTTTTGGGTGAAATCTGGGAACCTAAAAACAAGAGGAAGCGCTAGAAAATTCTTGGAAAAGCCTCCAGCCGAAAACATAACAAAATCTAGACAAAGCCTAGAGCATTCCTAGGAAAATGCCAGAAAAGCCTTTGAAAATCTCATAAACCAACAGAAAACGTGACAAAATCTACGAAAAAAACAAGGGCATTGGCCGGGACCATGCCGCGACCAGCCCGGGATTCGAGCCCAGGACATTTTGGACCGTGCTTATTTTCCCGCGCGGGTCGAGAGGGTGCCCCAAGATGTAAATCAATTGGGGATGGCAGATTCTTGGACAATCCAGGTCGCTTTCCTGGAGAAATCCCGGCAGGATTTCGTCACTCCGACAAGGGTCCGGAGGGGTAGGGGAGGTAAGGTGTAGGTCTAAGGCTAAGGACTAGGTCTAAGGTCTAAGGCTAAGGCTAAGGCTAAGGCTTAAGGCTAAGGCTAACATCGACAGTCACGCCTCACCCCACGGTGTGGGGTCGGCGGATTTATAGATCCATTCACGGTCGGGCTTCACACATGTTTAACTCCTCCGGCCTCGGGCAGCTCTCAGTGCGGTCCGGCTCAGAATCGATTTGAGGCGGAGTTGAGATCCAAGTTGTTTGGTTTTTGGTATTATTGTATTTTGTTTGAAGGCATGTTCATTCCCGGGGTTCTTATGGTATAGTATAGTGGTTAAGGACGGGTGTTTGATCGGAGGTGCTCATCGGCGTTTGCGGCTAATTCGCTGCTATTTGCAGTACATTGATTCACCTCGAGATCTTCGAAGTGCATTTCGACTGTGTAGACTCGCAGAATCTGGTGGCCGCGGCGGGTGCTCTTGGAGACTGCACTCTCGTTGTGGTGCTCATCTCTTTGGGACTTGGTGATCATCGTGGTTTGGTGGTCCAACGTCGGCCTTCCGTGACAGGTGCCGGAGATCGGAGCGGTCTTATGTCGATGTGCAGACTTCGTGGCAGGCACACCATGGTGGTGGTGTTTGGCGTGGTGTGATTTCGTGGCAGGTGCGGTGAATCGTGACACTGGAACTGACATGTGGCTCGTTTTCAGAAATCGCATGAAGTCTTAGGGAAGGCCGCGTTTTGGCATTTTGATCGGTGTGGTCTTTGGAAGTAGTCTTGCGGCAAATCGCCTTGGCAGGGCTGCGTGATGTGAATCTTGATGTGCAGATTTCGTGGCAGGCGCAGTACTATGTGGACCTTGAAGTGCAGATTTCGTGGCAGGTGCAGTATGAGCAGAACTCTACGCCTCCAGAGCTCTCCAGACTTCTAGATCTCTAGACCTTTTAGACCTCCAAAAGTCTAGGCCTCTAGAGCTCTAAAGACTTCCGTCTGTTTCTTTGCTTTCTCTGGTTTCTCAACGCCTACACAACTGTTTGGTGTCTCTTGGGGGGATAGTTGTTTGTCTTTGTATGTTTTTTGTTGCTTTGTATTTGTTGTTCATTTCTATGTTTTTCAGCTTGTCCACCAACGTGGCGGGCTTGACTTGAACTCCCACATGTTAACATCGTGTCCATTTTTGGCATCCTGATGCACCGGGGCCGAGAAACGTGGTATGCCGATACTATGTACTATTCCTTTTTGAAAGATTTGAGGCCTACAGTGACCTACTGTACATGTTTGAGTTAAAATCGAGTATTGCAATGTGTTTGTTGCGCAATTGGTTCCTCTCGAGCTAGCCAGATGCCCTGTACATGTACATTGGACCGACCTAGCTATATGGCCTTGACCATGTTTTGACAGATCCTGATTGACTTTGGGATGGTTTCAACGCTTGGTCGTTGAATGTCCACAATAGCCACACAGGGGGCAAGAATACAACCCAATTTGGGATGTAGCACAGAACAAATACAGAGAACTGTATACAAACATCAATCATTAAATTATGTTAGGCATGAACCAAGCAACAGGCAGCAGAAAGAGAAGGAAACAAAGGACTATGAGATTTCTTTTCAGAATGAATGGAACGAACACAAACAACGTAAACATACTATTCAGACAAATATATGTAGAACATGTATCAAGGTAAACAAAAATATGGTTATCATGTTTTTAATCATTTTAGGACATAGAAAAAGCAAAGTGCACTGCGTGATGGTGATTTTTCAAGGTGTGCACCTGTTCAATCCTGTTCACCTCTTTTGTTCTCCTCTCCAATGGTCCAATGGCAAACTGCAGGTGCCCGGCGGCATTTCTGGCGTCAGACTCTGAGAGGTTGGATTTGGGGCCCGCAAGGTGGATAAGGTGAGCAGCAGGTCATGGGCTGACCTTCCGTTGGGCAAGGATTTTCAAGCCATGAACATTGGATCAAATAGAACCTGAAGGCCATTGGTTTTGTATAATTTTTGGTTGAATGCTGTGGGTATTCCATGTCAGATCATAGGCCTATTTTGGTGCAACAGTTGCATATTTGGTGTGCATGTGTTTTACTTTATGCCGCCGGTTCCACCAGCGCAGCACTGGCTGGAGAACTTGTCGCAGCTTGGATTGCCTTTCACCAACTTGCAGCCACGGGGAGATAGATGGAGAATATGCACTCTCAACAAGGTATATCGGGGTGGGTCTAAAAAACAGATCCCTGGGCCAGGTATCCCGGTTTTGACCCACAGCCACATATAGGCTATCCACCAGCAAGATCAATTAGGTTTGCAATAATGGCAAGACGGCGCCCGCCTGAATGTTGACCAGCTGCTCATTTGTTTGCCTACGTTAAATTCAACATCCAAAGAGCAACAAAACTATGGTGCTCCCAAAGTAGATAGACATGTAGCACTGAGACGAAGGGTTCGTTCCGGGATGCCGAGAACTAGGCGCAGCTAGAGCGAACGATTCTGCATGTGGACTGTGTGGCCGGTTGATTGGCTTAGGACCCGGTTTCGACCCATGATGTTTGTTTTGTGGGAAACTGAAGCGGTAGAAACATATATTGAATGCTCATCACCTGAAGGAGTCAGAAGTTAGCATTGGAAAGGACAAGCTGAAACATCGGTCGGCATGGATGGCGCAAGACGAGATTTTTGTCCAACAGGCTGTTTGACAGGATTTTAGCAGGATCCACCAGGGTAGAAGGTGCTGCATGGATGTGGGTGGCGAGGTCCTGTAGGCGTCCTCCAGGTTTTTCAATGAAGTCTGCACCACTGCACCACCTTGAGGGAGCACCTTCTGGGAGCCAAGGCTGCAAGCGTGGCGCCTTCCTTCTGAGGCCTGGAGTTTTGCCACGGGTTGGTGGCTGGGGAGGTTCTTCCTAGCAGATGGCAATGCTGCATGCGACCCGAAACGTATCCCAGATGCTTCACGTATTGTTGCTTACATTTGGTGGTTTTGGGATGTTTCGGGTGGCTTTCATCCAGGGCAGTCCATGACGCCACCATGGAGCATTTGAGGGGCGAGACTGGAAGTGATGATCACATGCGGCAGCCTCTCGTGTGTGCCATGGGGGCGTCGACCGTTTTCTGGGTTTATCGATACCAGCTCCTTCCGTTCAGGGCCACCAAACGGAGCATCGTACACTACTTATAGGTCTCCATGAGACACCCATTGGAAGAACCTCTCGACTGTACTAGAAGATGATTTTGGTCAATCAGAACCAGCTGGATTTGTCCTCCCCTGCCTTGCCCTTCCCCTTCCCCTTCTCTTCCCTTCCTTTCCTTCGCTTCAGGTGTGGACTTACCACTGGGACGGATGGCGGCCTGGCCAGCTTCCTGCAACGGCGCGGGGGTAGACCTTTTCACTGCGCAGCGCCGACTTCGCGGCGGTTTGAAAACCTACCTCAAACCGGTGCTCCTAGGGGTCATTAATGTCCAACTATAGCTTCGAGTAGGGATTTGCGTGGGTGGAGAGGATTGTCTCTTTTTCAAAATTAACTATGTTCAAGCAGTTTCAATCCCTGTTGGGGGCCCTATGGCAAAGCACAAAAACATCATCACGAAGGCTTCAATTCGTAGCAGATGTGGAGCATGGCCGGAAGTTGAGTGTTTAACACTTTGTTTGGATGTTCACCCCTTGAGGAGGAAGAGGAGGAGCTGGAGGACAGGGAATAAGAGCAAGTACGGGTATGTGGGGCCTGGTAATAACTTTAGTTTGTACTAAGCGTCCAAAAGTTGTTTTTTCGTCCTGGAATAGAACCCAGAGTAATATACAATGGTCGAATTTAGAGTCTAATATATTCATTGCGAGCTTATCGCGGCCCGCTATTTCTCGATCAGCCAGCCGGCCGGCCGGCCGGCCAAGAACCACGGTCCAGCACCACGGTCCAGCTGGCCGGCCGGCCGGCCAAGATCCACGGTCCAGCCGGCCGGCCAAGATCCGGCCGGCCGGCCGGCTGATCAACGACCATCGGCTACTACTACTACTACTACCACTACTACTACTACTACTACGACGTGGCCGGCCCGCCGGCCGCTATGGCCAGCCGGCCGGCCGGCCGCTATGGCCAGCCGGCCGGCCGGCCGCTCCAGGTGCCAGCCGGCCGGCCGGCCGATCAAGGTGCCAGCCGGCCGGCCGGCCGTGGAAGAAATCGCTACTACTACTACTTCTTCTACTACTACTACTACTACGACTAGGACTAGGACTACGACGACGACGACGACTACTACTACTACGTCTAGTAGTACTACTACTACTACTACTTGGCCGGCCGGCCGCTATTGCCAGCCGGCCGGCCGGCCGCTATTTGGCCAGCCGGCCGGCCGGCTGGTCGCGAAATAGCAGGCCGGGTTGCCCGCGCTGTCTAATATATTGTCAACATTTGTTAACACAGTCCCGGACCGTTGTAAAAACATATGTGTAACACTGTGTAAATTTAACAAATTGAAAACTATGTAGTTATTCCAAAAAATGGAAGGGCTCAATATTTATTTGGATCAAAAACACATTTATTAGTTGCATTTACAGACAAAGCACAAGGGACTTTCGCCGAGAAACTTGCATTATTTGCAGTATGGTAACTGGAAATCCTGGAAATCCAGCTTCGTCATGTTCTCACTGATTCGGCTGTTTGTACACTCCGTCGAAACACAAGATTGAAGCGGCAACCCCTTACTTTGTTGGCAACCGGCAAACATTGTGAACAGCATCCACCTGATCTATGTTCCGTGGAATTTCCTGCGTGGGAAAATGATGCAGTGTTATCCATCCATCTCCCCAAACAGGGGCCCCGCACCTCTTCGTTCAGAGTTGGTGATAAAGCAAAAGTATTTCATATCCATGACCAGCTCCATGACTGCCATCCAAGACTGACGCCGTCCGGTCCGATTCAGCCAGGGCATGTCCTGAGTTGGTCTTCCAGCTGATGGTGAGCTTCTTGTGAGCAACTCCGACTCCCGTAGCCTCAGCCCAGAAAAGGGCGGCGCTGCACACACACATACACCCGCGCGTGCGGTTGATTGCTCGTGATTTTTGGGTGCGAGGCATTTTAATCGATGGGATCGATCGGTTGGGGTTCTCCATGGTATACGAGTCATTGCAGTGATCACTTCAGTACACCTTACTGAACAGAGTTGAAGACTGTTGCTAATCCTCCACGTTTGGCGAATTTGCAAACCAATCGGATGATTGGGGCAGATGCCTCATCCAGTCAACTGGCTGAGCGTTTTCATTTGTGTTGGTGAATGTGTTGACCTGATGGCACCCTCAGACGAGATGGCGGTTAAACGGTGTGAACGCACACGCACATGGAAGCTGTGTGATTTTGTGTTGTTTAGGGTTGGGCTCCTATAACCCAATCACAGGACATACTTGGAGTGTTTGGGTACAGTAAAATATTTGCCACTTACATGTTCTTTTTCGCCGGATTCCTGTACCGGACAGTGCCCTCTTCGAACAGCTCCGACTGGGTAAAAAGGAATTCTTCGATCCCTCCGAAAATCGGGGCTCACGTGATTTAACACTTCAATTGATCACATCCTGGATGCCCTCCAAACCTGCAGTACTGTGTCTCCAGTCTCCTTCTGAGAAGGTACGACTGGATCCCTAGGGATCGCAAGGACGTGCCGTTCACCATCACCTGTGATTAAGGTCTTCAGGAAGAATGAGTTCTCCGAAACCGGGGGCCCATGCTCATCCTATCCACATCCTTCCACAATTGCTTCACGAACTGCACCAGGAGTTACACAGTTCTGTGTATTTATGTGTTCCGATCCAGTGAGTTCATTATGGCACCGCTCTCCAGGGTTCGGCAGCCCCCCCCTTCATGGAACCAGACAGAACTAAGATGGGAATCAACCTGGATACTATATCAACCTGGAACTATATTATCAGATCTATCAATCAGAGTGGCACTAGGCTTTGATTCCCACTCTGATCGTCGCAGCTATCGGCGATCGTCCGCCGCACCGTCGCTTTGGTAGGCCCGAGGAAGCATGGTCACCAAGGGAGGAAGCATGGGTTTCCAGATGCCACAGGGGTCATAGACTCACTCATTGCCGTAACAGTTAGGCTGTGAAGAGATTCCAAGAGCCGTGATGTTGATAGTTAGTTTTATATATCGGTTCTTTTTGGGGGGATGTCCCTGTAAGTCCCCGTCCTGTTTTTTGGTACTTTCTTTATCTTTACAAGGATTTTGAGGGAAGTTGTTGTACAATATATGGCCTCAACTTCGATGGAGGCTTTTACTGGAGGCTTACGAACAGAAAAAGGCCCTTCACCTCGCCCATCAAGGCCCTTCACCTCGCCCACGACCTTCTGCCCATCATCGAAGGGCACCAGATGCTTGGGAGCTACCACCAAACCCGGAACACCACCGAACACCTCCGAACTTCGAGTCAAGCCCCGCCCAGTCAAACCCCCACGCAGGTTTTCCCTGCGGGGCGGGCGGAAGACCTCGTCCGTGCCATGGCGTGACGCTCCGCCCGTGATGGGCGCGGCGCCCTCGTGTTGCGAGTCGCATGCGGCGGATCCTCCGGTCGAGCCGGTGCACACGCTGTCAGTGGCCGACAGCCAGGAGGAGGTCTTGGAGCCAGTGACGCTGGGCCGAGCATGGACAAGACCCGGACATGAGCGAGAATGGAAGGCGATCGATTCAAGAGTATAAGAGAATAAGACATGCAAGAGTATATAACATGCATATATACTGTAACATGAGTGGGTTTCCGGTCGAAAGCTCTTACTGCTTCTTGCATGTTCCATGATTTTTTCGGTGATGTCGCCTATAGGGCCTAGGGATGAGGTCACATGTTCCTTCGTCCCTGCGAACCGCACTGTCCTTCGTCGCGTTGTGGCCTTTGTTGGAGCCAAGAGATCGATAAGCTGTGAAGAAATAACCGTATAGGTAGCTGGTCATGGCTGGATGCTGCTTGAACATGCTGGAACATGAACAGTTCTGTGGATAGGTTTATATATATATATATATCTAGCACAGAACCCGAGGGAAACATTGTGACAATAGTTATGGCCATTTATGACATATTCAGGCTATGCTATAGAACAATATGTACAAGTGTATCCTGCCTGAAAGGCTTCCAACACTCATCATATTGTTTTTGTATGCTTTAGTGTTCTGAGAGTCTGTTTTCTATTCTGCCTGGCTTCTCCTTCCCAATTTTAAATGCTGACTGGACCCAAGTCTTTTGCGACACCGAGGAGAGGCCAAGACTCTGATGTGTCGCGTGTTGGGATTCGTGAAGATAGCAACCTGGACAGCTGAAGTTGAAATGGCAAGTCATTCCCATTTGGGTCCCATGAGGTTCCAAACTATCTCTCCCACACACAGGGACACAGACACAGACACACACACTCTGACATTGGTTTTCAGTTAACTCAATTTCCAAGAAAAAATGGTGATGGAACGGCACGGTGAAAGGTCCGATGAGTTGAAGGTGTTTTAACAAATGGTTTGCTCACAACTGCAGTGACAAGCTGTAAAACGCGCGGCTGCTGAAAGTGGCTGAGAGAAAATGGTTTGAGGGGTAGGTAGCATGAAGGACCATGAATCAAACCGATCAAATTGGACAGCGTGTTCACAAGTTGTAGCAGGTACACAGGGATGATCAGTCCCTGCATCCTGGTCAGCTGCATAGAGCTTCGTTGGCGACAGCTATGCAGTGACCCTGTCGCCCCCTGCGTGTAAGCACCCTTCGGAACAGGGGTTGACACACACACACACACACACGGTGCCGCTTTGCGGCGCCCGTGCCAAGAACCTGAATAGGTACCTAAAAAGCCTTAGAAACAAAAGAAAGAAACACAGAAAGAGCAGCGCTAAGAGGTCAAGAGAGAAAGGTAGGTGTAGGAAAAAGTGAATACTTAGCCCTTGACTGGGGTAGGGAAACGAGCCTCAAGAGCAACCTAAAAAGCCTGAGAGAAGCCCAAGAAACGACCAAAAGCGCAAGAAGGAAAGCGGGGGGGGGGCAGGGAGGTGTATGTACATGTGTGTGTCCGTGTGTGTGTATGCATACTTAGCACTCTAGAGTTACTGACTACTTAGCAGAAGCGAATTACGTGCAATAGTTAGGGAGCGGGACTTTAGTCTTAAACCGCCCGGGTAGAGAAGAATAGAAAAGGGACAACAGAGGGAAAGGTACCGACACACAAGTGTAGTACCATTTCCCTCTGTTACCCTAATTAGGTAGGGAGTAGAACTCGGCGGGGGGGGGGGGGTTGGGAGACCTGCCTCAAGTGGGGTGAATTTCCGTTTTTAAGCCCGGCGGCTATCAAATCCGTTTTTTAGCCCGGCGGCTGTGATTGCAAGTTGATGGTATTCCATCGTTTATAGCCCGGCGGCTCGAAACTCCGTTATAATTCAGTTATAGAACTGGAAAACGTGGAGTCAGTTATAAGAAAGAAAAACCGATGCTTTCCGGAATGATAACAGCGCCTCCTTTCGGAGGGTCACACCCAGCACCCGAGTGGGAAGACTGAGCGGCTCACACTCTGACATTGGTTTTCAGTTAACTCAATTTCCAGGAAAAAATGGTGATGGAACGGCACGGTGAAAGGTCCGATGAGTTGAAGGTGTTTTAACAAATGGTTTGCTCACAACTGCAGTGACAAGCTGTAAAACGCGCGGCTGCTGAAAGTGGCTGGGAGAAAATGGTTTGAGGGGTAGGTAGCATGAAGGACCATGAATCAAACCGATCAAATTGGACAGCGTGTTCAAAAGTTGTAGCAGGTACACAGGGATGATCAGTCCCTGCATCCTGGTCAGCTGCATAGAGCTTCGTTGGCGACAGCTATGCAGTGACCCTGTCGCCCCCTGCGTGTAAGCACCCGTCGGAACAGGGGTTGACACACACACACACCCGCGGGCACTGCCATTTACTTATAATGTAGACTCTTGATTAATCACCCCCGCCATATGAAGAGGCGTTTCAATTCAAATGGAGAGGGTTTATGAATCAAGAGTCTACATGACTCAGTCTTGTGTCGTCCCACGCCGTTCGTCCTGGGACGTGCCCATTGATCGCGCCTTCATCTCCGGACGCGACCGATGAAACATCTCAGGACGCGACGTTTCCGGAGGGTCGTGTGACGTGACTGATTCTGTACCCAAATGGACGGTTTGGATGACTTACTCAGAGTTATATAGATACATGGATGGGTCATGATGTTCTTAGGGGGTCATTGTATGTAACTATATAGTCCATACTGTTCCATACCGTTGATGGACAAAATCCTGCACCACTTTGCGCACACTTTTCTTGCTGCCCTCGTTCTCCCTCGTTAACATTGGGGCCACCACAGTGAGAAAACAAAAACAAGTTGAAGGTCCAAAATCCTGCACCACCTCCTCAGAGGGGTCGCGCCAACATTGAATGAGGGGGAACGGGGGTTGCTATGCGACCCTTCCAGGGTAAAGTGGTGAGGTGGTGCAGGATTTTGTCCATCAACAGTATTTCCATACCTGGATGGTTTGTGCCTCCAAGTTTGGCAGGTGTAGGTCCAAGTGTCCTACTGTCCTACACCGCGTGGAGATGGCCTTGAGAACGATTCCGATCCGGGGGAGAGGGCGGGGGAGAGGGACGATCTTTGGGCCGCGCGTTCTGTTCCTGGAAGCGTTCCCGGAAGCGAGGAAGCCTGTTTTGGTCTTGTTTCACCCGGATGCTCCACAATTGCTCCAACCTTCCCAGGCAAGGTCCGAAGAAGTTTCCTCCTTGAGAAGAAGCTGGTGTCCGACCAGGAGCTTCTGAATGGGAGGGTCTTGTTTCTCAACGCTTTAAACTGAACCCGTACCATGGCAGTGGTTGTTATTTGCCGTATGCATGATTCTGGTGAATATTGTTTCCTTTTGTCCCTAGGATCCTTGAGATATCCAAAGGTCAAACCTTTCTCTTCCAAATTTTGGGTTTCGAAGCTCTTTATTTTTTTCGGTCTTTTGCGCTCGTGAGTGGACAATGGACATCCTAAGTACCTACTGGTACCTCACACTGCGGATGCTTCAAGCCCTTCCATGTTGGGTCCCCCAGATACATCATTTTCATATATATATATATATATATATTGGGGTGCTTTCAGTGGACTCCAAATCCTGCGCGTGAAAATCCTCGTCAGCTCAGGGAACCGCTGGGCTGGTCCCTTGGGCTTCGCTTGCTTGGTCCGAGCGATGAACTTGTGGTTGAAGATCATCAAACCCAGACACGACGATCCATGGGACTGCCATTTATGCCTACATTCCCTAAGGATCTAAGTACCTTCTGAGAAGGTACTTGGATCCTTAGGGATTGACACCCCAAAGCGATCCGTCGAGCCGTTGCAGTCGATACCGAGCAGACTCCACGCGTGTGGGAACGGAACCCCATACGGTCCAGTCCCACAACTCGTCTGGGACTGCCAGTCACTGCCTTCATGGCACGGCCGATCGGGGTGGTGGACCCGGGGGGTCTGTCTGGGGCGGCAGGCATTGGCTGGCCAGACAGGTCGTGTCTACACTCTGCCAGGCCATTTGGATATTCAACAGACCCATCCAACACCCTGCCGGCAGCTGATTGTTCTACACCCCCTGACCCATCCAACCGGACACCGCGGACACCGCACGGATGAGCAGACACCGCGGACACCGCCCCTGGTGGGTGGCATCGATGTCTCACCCTCAGACACTCCATGGAATAATGATACCCCCTATAGGGCTCCTGGCCCACCGAACTCGTTTCGGTTCGGTGGGACAGGGGGCCCAGGTGCCAGGGGGGTCGAAGACCACCGGTCACCTGAGGAGATAGTTGGAGTCCTAAGGTCACTATAATACTATACATTCCCCAACCACACCAAGTATATATACCTACATTTGGTGGGGTTGAGGGGTCAATGTAGGGTTATGATACATGTAAATATGCCACATGAACATGCGTAACAGTTACCCTAACTAGATGTGTGCAACTCTTCCAGTTTCAAGGGCGTTCTCACGCAGGAGATCATGAAGGGCGTCCTCCTCAGGAGCACTCTTCGGGGCTTAGGACGTTTGTGGCGTGGCTCACCCATCGACCTGCCTCAGGAGGAGAAGGCCAGGTGACGTGAACGAGCGTCGGAACCCGAGTCGCGGAACCTCTTGGCGTATAGATAGCATACCCTAGGGATCCAGATGGATCCAGTCATACCTTCCCAGAAGGTACTTGGACCCGTCCAAAGCTACATAACAGTGTCGAACACAGCACATCAGCTTCTGAGAAGGTACGACTGGATTTCCAGGGATATGATAGCAAGAGCTCCCAGAAAAAGGCTGGAGAACCTGGCTGCATGGTGGAACATCGTGCATGTCAGGGCCTTGACGCGGGCACCGCGTCACCCGGATGTACCGGTTCCTGGCTTCGATCCTTAGGATGCCCATGTGTTTGACCCGTTGCCCTTCTTTTTGCAATGACACTGCTGAGAGTATCATATTGATAGTTATATATTAGTTGAAGGTTCCAAATGCATCCAAATGCCAACCAGGTGGTGAGATGCACTTCCATGATGATTCCAAGGAGTGTACCATACGGACACGACAAAGATACCCTTTCTGCGCCAGATCAAGCTGTGGCACGATGCAATGTCCGTCAGCGAGTTTGATGCTTTGCCATGCAAGGAGCTGGACAAGGTCGTGAAGTCATGAATTAAGCTCGTGTTGTTCTTGCACTTGCCCAGGTCATGTAACATGTGTGGAATGTTTAAAGACGCTTTAGCTACATGTAGTGTGGCTTCAAGCCATACATTAAAGAAGATTTTACATACATTTAGTGTGGTTTCAGGGGTCAATGTTGGCATATAGTATATCTTCCATAATACACGGTTTGCATTGTATTGAGTGTTTGCTCCAGTTTCTTCGTATCACGTCGTAATGATCATGTCGTGATTCCGCTGTTCGAAGCGTTCGAACGTACCAAGAGATTCAACAGTTCCCACGGTTATTTGGTGAATCGCAGTGGCGACTCCAGTGGGCTGAGTGATTCGCTCCAGTGGCTCGACCAGGTAAGCCTGGCGATCCATGATTTCTCACAAAATCGATGAGCAAAACTGTTTGTGAGAAAATCGGCTGCGACCTCAAGGAAAGTGGACTCGTTCCACTGGATTTGGTTCAAGCTGGAGGTCAGTCGGCCAGCCTCCCGCGCTTAAGACACGCGCCGCGTGCCACGTGTTTTGCTGTCTTCTTGTGCCAAGGATGTTTTCTTGTCTCATACTTGGCACACCAAGGGGTCTCTTGGCAAAATTCATGTGTCGAGTGGACAGGCATACTGACAGGCATTTGCGCGAGGGGGGCACTTCTTCCAAGAGTCAGGTTTCCCCACCGCAAGGTGAGTTTTGGTGAGATCCCTTGGAGCCCCAAGCCACTGATGCACAGCCCAATCGAGGTGCTGTCAATGACCTGTAGAGGTGTCGGGCTCAACAAGAACATTGGACGTCAGCCTGCAATCTACAGCCATCATCCACTGGTAATGGGATATCGATGGATATCGGATAGACCCAATGTTTTGCATTGTTTAGCCTTTCCACATTTTGTGGTTCTTGATGTTTTGTTCAGCACCTGCATGCTCAGAGCCACACAGGTGAAGTGTTTCTTCTGTCGAGCACTAGATGTTTGGCATGGCTGTTTGGGATAGTGATGTTTGTGACGTGTTTATACTGGTAGTTCACCAGGGCCTTGCTCATGGGGATTATTGGTGAGCAGCGGGGCCGTGCGCGTTTTCTACTTGAGCTACACACCGGAGTTTACAATAACTAACCCTGGTAGTTTCGACGTTGCATGCACCCCGGTGTCCAACATCGGCTCGGGGGCCCCAGTTTGACTTCCAGTGGGCAGTCTACATGAAATATCATGAAATCCTGTTCGAACGACGGTGCGGTGCTTCTTGCAGCTGGAGCTCCCGCAGTGCGAGGCCCGTCAGCTGGACGCTCCATGGGACCACATGGACATGGTTCAAAACAGTGCTCTGACCTTCCGAACCCCTAAGGATCCAGTCATACCTTCTCAGAAAGCACTTGCACCCTCCTGGCACCTACATAACAGTGTCGAACACATCACCGTACCTCAGAAGGTACTTGGATTTGTAGGGTTCCGGGTTTGAGTACCAGCACCTTGCGTGCCGCGTGCCCTAAGGATTTGGAAATTCCTCGCTTTATCGTTGCAGATCAGCTGGAGGAACATCCTGCTTTGTGACCTGGCGTTGGGAATGACGGTGCCGTTCCCAGCACTAGATGGGATCATGTGCGCAGATCGACGGTTTTTGCTTCGAAACTGATTGCTTTGTGAAAAGTCGGAGTGGAACCGATATTGCAGGTGGTTTTCCACTTCCATCACAATTTCAGAGAGTGTACAGTGTATATCGCATCCTCAGGAAGGTAGTTAGACCCCCCTCCCACCTACCCCAACTACCTTCTCAGAAGGTTGTTGGAGCCCTAGGGTACACTGTACTCCCTTCGCTCAGGTTGGCTGTTGGCGATCATTCTCATGGAGCTCCTTTTCTACCTTGACCTTTTGCCCCCTGAGCCTTGGCGCGGAGATTAGAATCCAGCCCTGCTGACAAGGTTGACAAATCAGCCCTAGGTGGAAAAGTTCATAGAAATGTTGACATATGAGCCACACGTGCAGGTGTTTTAATCGGAGATTTGGAATGAAATTATGCCCAGAGCACTGGTTACCACCATAGCTGGCAATCAGTGCTTCCAGAGACAAATGCCATATACCTAGAAACTCTAGTTCCTTAACTCGTGGGATGCCCAGAGTGTTTTGTTTTATGATACTATACTTGTTGTAAATATATGAATAACACACAGCAAAGGCTTTTGACCCACCAGCAGGTATCCACTCATATCCACTCGCTCATGCTCGCCTTTAATTTATGTGTCCTTCGAATTTCTCATCTTCCCATCCGTTGTTCCAAGGATCACATCCGCTGGGACGTCTCTAATCCTGGCGGCACCTATAGCGACTGGGACGTGACTCTAGGGATGTCCGTCACGATGGTTGCGGATGACGACGCCGTTTGTTCGGGCCACAGGGAAAGAACATGTTCCCAGAAGGTACTTGGAGCCCTAGGGGTTGTGGCGAAACGTCCAGGGTCATGACTCATCCTGCCGATCGGAGTGGACCAGGATAGAGGTATGTTCTGCCAAGTTTTTTCTTGCGGCGGCGCTGACCGCCCATGTCCCCTTAGGGGATTAGGACTCACATCGGACACCTTCCGCACCTTTCGAACTCGCCGACCCATGAACCTAAGCTCCCCCGACTTGCCCAAAAACCATGAACATCCCACGAAATCCATGTGACACATCGCCGATGAATCGGCTAGGCTTTCCTTAACCGGTGGGGGACGGCCGGGCTCCTCGCGCTGTGACCTCTTTGCTGCGGGCAGATTGGGATGTGCCCTACAGCCAGTGGGGCACCATCTTGGCGCCCGCCGTCTCGCTGGTGCCCTTCCTCCTCGCACCTTACGCCAGCCAAGCCCAGGCGTGGAGCATGATTTCAGGTGTTGGCAAAAATAGGGGGAGATCTGCCTGGGAAGCGAAAAACGGATCTGGATCCATGTAATTATGTGGGATCTGTTTTAACAGTTCCTCCTCCTCTTGAATTGAACAACCTCTTCGTATGGGCAGTTGATGAATCAAGAGCCTACATTAGGTTGACAGCTTTTGTAACAGCAGCTCGGTGAGCCTCAGCTCGGGATGCAACGTCCCCCGTCCATCTCGCAGACCGTGACCCCCCGTCCAACCAACAGAACCGCACAGCCCTCCCCTCTTTTGGTCTTCGGAACCTCGTCTTCCCAGCTCCCAGCTCCCATCCGCGTCATGATGTTCATGGAGTCTCGCTGTCCCGCTTGACCTGCACCAAACATCCCAAAAGAGGTGAAGTGACCGTTTTTATGGACCCGTAACCTGGGGTACCTAGTGGGGTAGCCATCTGGAATGGTCGAACTAGGCTTCGGACCAACCTTGGTTGGTCCGCCCTGTTGTCCACGGCTGCCACGTCTCATTCTCACATCTGATCACGTTCTTCATCAGACCCTTCTGACCACAACTGACCCCGCGGACTTGTCGATCGGAAACGACATCGCCAGGTGTGTTTCTTGGATGTGGCCTGCATCCACCAAGCCGATGATCACCTGAAGGAGCGTGGCATCTATGGGCTCGGAGGCGGACGTCGGAGAAGGAAGACGACTGGTTGGCCGGGCACCGGGTGTCGGTCGTTGGTTCGTTGGGGTAGTTTGAGGAGTCCATGTAGGCACAGACCCCCCGTTTGTTCAACATGGAACCTCAGAATGGACCCATAGAAAAAGAAGTGTCCCTTACAACTCAGTGGTTTTGGGGTTCCATCTTAATCTGCCGGGGTGTATGTTCCATAGTATGTTCCATATATTTAAGCATCCGTATACGGATGCTTTGGCTTTGAGGGAAGCGTGGATAGCATTGGAGGCGGACGTCGTGACTTTCCAAAGATGTGATGAGCCGGTGATTTTTGCATTTTGATTCATATTGATGGGATCCGTTGTTCATAAAGAACATCAAAGCACATGATGAACATCCCTAGAACTCCAAGCAGGTGGGTGCCAGGAGGGTCCAGTACTCCCTTCTGCTTGGAGCCCCAAAAAGGGCATAGGTTGCCTGTCAACAGCTTTCTCCTTCGCATTTGGCAGCCATTGCCAGGGATCTGGATGAAGTTTGCTGCGCTGCGATACAGGGTACTCATGCGACCTGAAAGTACCAACAGAGGTAGCCAGTGACCGTCAATAGGACCCGGAAAACCAGGGTACCGGAACTGGGATAGCCGAACTAGGGTTCTTCAACCTTTGTTTGTTGGTATTAGGAGATGCGGATCAACGGATCAACGTTTACTTCCTCAACCCATCCCATGCCATTGCAGTGGTGAAATGCCCCGCCGCGCTTTCGAGGCTTCTTGAAGGCATCCAAGGCAGGCTGCTCTGGGTGCCATGCAAATCTTTTGGGCCAAGGGACCAAGGGACACCAAAGAGTCATATACGTCGTTCAATGACACTCTTGGGGCCCAAAAGTGTTCCGCAGCTGAGTCGCATTGGCTTGGTTTGCCCAACTGAATGGATGTGATCATGATATCCCTAAGATTCCCTAAGGGTCCAGGACCATCCGAATCGGATGCCCTTTGGCCCCCCAAGACTAGACCATTCTTTGGAAGCACTTTTACCTCCAAGACTCCAAGGCCACCCTTAGGATGTATCTGGACCCTATGGGTATATAAGTTCCTAGGGTTTCAGTGGTACCTCCTCAGAAGGTATGACTGGACCCTCCAAAACCACACCTTCTCAGAAGGTGCTTGGAGCCCTAAGGATGTGTGTTTTCACTGGTTCTCCCACTTTCTCGGTCGGCGAATGGTTCAGATGCCGGGGTCAAGACCCCGCACGGGCCACGGGTCTTCCAAGGTGTTTGGCCTGAAGAACCCAGGTGCCCAAGACAGTATGAGTCAGTATGAGTGATGAGGCGCCGGACTCAGATCAATTCATTGCCAATGACTGAAATGATCAGCGTGATCCATGAACCTCATCATACCTCATCACTCAACTAAATGAAACCATTGGAACAAATGCAAGATACAACTTACAAAGCAAAAAACGACAACCTTCCCTTACTAATTCCGATCGACTGGGCAAAGCAAGGAACTAAGTCATGAACTGGGTCGACTCGCTTCTTAGACCGGATCCAGTTCCACCCTCCAGTTGGGCCAACCGGGTCTCCGCCGGGTGGAAGGAGCTTCGGATCCTATGGAGTCCACCGTATTTGTCTCGACTGTGGCCTGGCACGGCACGGCCTGGCCCTGGTGGAGAAAATGCATCTTTTGGACCCAAACCACCTGGTTTGTAGATGAGAATGGTCAGAATGGTCATCCCAGCTGAGTATACATGGGGCATATATGGGATATTTCATGGGAAGCGTACATGTGATCCTTTTTGAGAAGACCCCCACAGAAGAGACTCAGCTAATGATGTTGTTCTGCCTATTTTTTTCAACGGATCAAAATCATAGATGTTGTTAGATGTTCTATCGAAGCATTTTGTTTTTGGAGGACACTCCGAAGGAGGAGACTTTGCAAATGATGTTTCTTTTTTTTAAGTTGCTTTCTGAGCGAAACAGGGGTCCAAGGACTAGTTCAAGGAGTATGGGATGATTGGCCCTGGTGCTTATACTGGAGGTGGGGAAGACAGTGGAGGTTGCCCCGAAAAGGAACCAAAGAATGGATTTCTAACCCTGCCAAGCCAGCTAAGCTACTCACCTATGCCACTGCAAAGAACCAGTTTTGTGGGGGGACTTGATTTGGTATAGGTGTGAGATCAACATGTGTTTCGACGCGTTTCTTTTCCGGACCGTCCATCTATGGACATGCAGCTGACCGAGTCAACCATGCCAAGGGAGGCAAATCGATGGCCCTGGGGATCGGATTAGTGATGAGATGGGTCGGGTACACATGCTAAGCGCACACACACACACACGCACTTCTAGGAGGAGTTCGAACCACGCAGGCCTTCTGATATTTTATGAGTGTGAGTTGAAAGTAAGGTGTAGACATTGTGTCGTACCTGAACCTGGTTGGAACGTTTCAGATAGGAGCTGCAAGCTCTTCCTGCTTGCGAGCTGCCATGTTTTTGCCATTGTTTCCCACATGGGTTGAGTGTTGTGCCCACATTTATCATTACTGTATCCCTAGGGCTCCAAATACCTTCTGAGAAGGTGGGACTGGGGTGGGTTTAGAGGGTCCAGTCATACCTTCGTTTCGGAGGTAACCTCCTGGAGCCCTAATTAGGGCATTGATCCTTGGACATGAACCTGATGCTGAACCCAGTTGGGCCAGATGCTGAAACCCAGCGGACAGGGCTGGGGCTCGATCGTTCGACAGGGCGGTGACCAGTCGGCGATCGGTGGCCGAATCGGAACAACGATGCAGGCGGCTTCGCCGACAGGGGGGCGACAGGCGAAGAAGATGCGCATGCCTTCTGTTCGGTTCGTTCTTGTTTGGTGTGGCAGCATGAAATGGACCTTGTATGCTACATTACAGTACGTATGTTATATTGCATGTTAGGACCATCCAATGGGTGTCCTGGCTGGACTACCCAGCCCGCTACTTAGACCTCCAGCCAGGACAGCCTGTCGACAGGCTGGTATATCACAGCCTTGCTTGCGGGGGGGGGTGGTCCGCGGGGTAGCTCCTACTGCGGTGGTGCTCAGTCGGTGGTAGCTCGGTATAGACCGGTGGTAGCTCGGTATAGACCGGTGGATCCCTGAGGTGGTGCATTTTCGAGCTTGGTGCCTATCGCCGCGGACCTGGATCGGTGGAGAACTGGGACCGATCGACCTGAAGCGGAGAGGATCGGACGGAGCTCGGAGCTCCGAGAAGATCGGAATCGGGTGTCTGACTGGGACCACGTGTCGTTGGTCCCGTATGGTCCGCGCAATTGAACAGTAGAAGCATGCTAAAGGCTTTTTGTGGACCTCGTGGTGTGTTTTTATATGTTAATATGTTGCTTTTTAATCATGAACCTAATTGTAGAGAGCAATATAAGAATATGGATCTGTATGGCGTCAAAACGACAATCAGAAGCGGGTCCGTGAAGATATGGGAACCCTGAAGATATGGGAACCGTGCTCCGAGTTTGGAGGCTGCGCAGTTCCTCCACATGCTGTTGCGATTTGGGGCATCCAAATTTGGAGCGACGATTATGCTGAAAAATGTTCGGCAATCCGTGGAACTGTTCTATTTGCCTGCATGGATGGGTGGTTTTAGGCTAATATGCAGGTTCAATGCATGGGTAAGAGCACTGTACTGATGTGTAAATCATTGTCCATGTCCTTTTCTTTACATGTTAGTTTGGCCCGATCGTGCATCCTTTTCAACTGCCCAGCCATCCTGGCCCTATTTGGCCCCCTTCGTTGGCTGGGCCGCGGCCACCTCCACCCTTTGCAGCCCTGTGTTCACTCTGAAATCCCTGACGTTAAAGCGAGAGTCTCCATCCAAACAAAAGCCTCAGGATGGAAGTTTGATGAAGTTTGGATGGTTTTTGTTCAGCTCCGTCATACCTGTAGTGGTTTCTGAGTAGATGGCACAATCTCCGTTTGTGGTTTCTATGGACCTCCATCAAGCATCCTTGGGATGTAGACATGCCAGACAGAACCCGGCAAATTGATCGTCACGATATACGTAAAGAGAGTGACCTTTTAGGACCTACCGGGGTACCGAACTGGGATAGTCGAACAGTCGGGTCCTTCAACCTTTGTTAATGTTGGTATGGCCAGTCCAACGATATTTTCCGTCGACAGAAGCCCAGGTATGGCGAACCCCTCTGGGACAATCTCCATCAAGCCATTGCTGCTCGGCTGTGTGGAGCGTATGAACGCCTTCGTCTCGTCTCGTCTTGCAACGACGGAACGAGCAGCCGTGCTTTTTGTTTCTTATGAAAGGAAGGGGCACCCTGGAAGACTATATGCAAATTTGACATCAGACCCCCTCGCAGCAAAAACAGAAAGTGGCATAATTCATTCCACCAAGCACAAAGCCATGCCTGCTTTTGCGAGTTTAGTTGTTTCATGGTGTTGTACTACAGCCCCCCAACCAACTAACCAACTGACTGTAGCGTAGGACTTCGGCTTTCTGTCGAAAGGAACTGCATCACCTGGAGCCTTCCCGTCTTAACTTATGGACTAGAGCAGCCGTGAACTTGAATCCAGCCAGCTGACCAACAGAGGTTGTTGAACCCGAACTAGACTATCCCAGTTCCATACCCCAGGGTTTTACGGGTCCTATAAGGTCACTTAACCTCTGTTGGGATTGATCCTGAAGCTTTAACCATGCTTCCGTGAGACACTGAGGTTCGTGGAAGTCACCGTTTTGGCTTGCTGGTTGGGCATCCAGCGGCTCGGCTCGCTTGGGCGGGTGTTAGTGACGGCGGGTTGCTTTGGTGGCGGGTTGCGCCCGGAAGCAAAGATGTACCTGCGAAATCCATGGAATAACATGCTATATCTTTTAAACAACATATCGTGTTCACCTCTCTTGTACCCACACAGCTTACGGGACTTTAATGATTGAAAGCACGATATATCTGAGAGTTATTGTGTTGTTTCTCTCCGGGGGGGGCAAGTCAGGATCATGTCGAGAACCCAAACTTTCACGGGTACCCTTTGGACACCTGATTTTTGGGAGTGGTTATTGCATGGTCATTGAAGGCAAATGATTGAAAAAAGGGTAGGGCAGCTACAAGTTCCTCCAATGCGCCATCCAAGCACTGCCTGAAAGCATCATTGCACTGCAAAGCATCATGGTTACGTGGACGGCATGGCCCCTTGGATGTCCATTTTCCTTTGCAAACAGCTGGTGTGTCCACTTCCGTGTGACGGCTCTTGCTCGGAGTGTAGTCAGAAGAGCGACAAGGGGTCACTGTCCAGGGGGTCGGGGGTCCCCTGTTCAGACTACGGTCCGTTTGGTCTTGACAGACAGGTTTGGGGGAATAGATGGTTTAAGGCTTTAGGGTTTCTGGATGTTTTGTCGGTGTTGCTTTTGGGTGGATAGATGATGGTTTATTAACCATTTCTTTCAAGCAAATGGCTCTTTCAGAGATGGCACCAGTCTACCAGCGATGTGGGCGAACGCATCTGCCGCATGGTCCATCGGCATGTGTCGAACCCCTTCAGTCCGCGATCTCAACCTGAAGAAGATTGACTGAACGGGCACATTCGAGAGGGTACACTCCGTGAATTTTATAACCCAGACATGCCATACATGCATACATTGACCCCTCAAACCATGCCCAACTGACCGGCATATATACCCCCTAGGGCTCCAACATCCGACCCGGTGACCGGTGGTATTCGACCCCCTAAGACCACCCGGGCCCCCTGTTAGCCATCGAACCGAAACGGCGGAGCGGAGCCCAAATGGGACCATGGAGGTGCAGAGTTCACCACCTGGGACTGGTTTTTTCTCCGAAGTCATCCCAAGGAAAGGGGGCCACCCCATCCCATCCACGCAATGTCCTGCATGTGAGAGCCACCAATGAGCCACCAATGGCCACGGAAAACTCTCCCGTGTTCGAGGCAGTTTACCGTGCAAAAGCATGTGCTTGTTGTTTCATGCTGTTTCAATGTAATTGTTGCACTACTCCTTTTTCGCAACCCGGATATAGCCTTGGTTGTTTTTTCTTCTCCAAGGCTCATCAATCTCTTGTGGGTCTTAGCAGTGGCCTTGACCGGTGACCTGGCGTTTTACACTCTGTTACCAGCTTTGGTGCCACTGATCTTGATCTTCCATTCCATGAGATGCTCGGCAGAAGGTCGGCTGGTTGGGCTGGTGTCCATGTCCGGGAGGTCACAGAGTCTAAGCGAGGAGTACTGATCAGCAGCAGTTGGAATATTTCGGGATTGTATGATTGTATGAACATGATATGAACATGAGGATCATAATACTTGGGATCATATTCAGGACTATATGTTGAAACATGGGTATGCGGATTCTAATTCTACGGAAGGAAAGGGAAGGGAAGGGAACGAAGGGTCGCAGGGTTTTCAGTGGTCCTTTTGTTTTTTGGGGGTCTATAGCTGGAACAGTGTGTAAACAATTATGTTAGAGATGTTGGCCTGCAACCTAACCATCATCATGCACTGCTATAAGGACCGGGAACCCATTTGACCCCTGTTTTGATAGGAAGTTGGGCCATATTTTGGGTGGTTGGTGGTCCAAAATAGACATCGTTCAGGTTCTGGGGATAGATATGGATAGACCCACCCTTTCGTTACTTCGTCCGGATCAACTCCCGCTCGTACCGGACGCCGGACGCCCTCGCTCGGTGCGTCCGCTTCGTCCGCTTGGTCTGCACTCTCCGCCGCACTGCCCAAGCAGCTGCACTCTCTGCGTCAGACTTCCGAGACCGCACGGCCCAGAAACCGGCCTCCAGTCGTACCGGACTCGTTTCGTTTCGTTTCGACGCCCGGGTGCGGTCCGAAGATCTGATGCTTCCTGGCCAAGCATGGTTTGAATGGCCTGACTCCCGAAGCACCAGCTGTTTGATGGATTTTACACTAAGCCAACCAGGTCAACCGAACTCTTTGAATGGTCGAACGGAAGCCGGACCGGGTATATATGATAGTGGATTGAGAGTAGATTGAGTCATAATTGAAAAAGGTGGTTTGTATGGACCCTCATCATCATTCTCATCTATGTCAGACATCTTGGGGTGTGCCATCTACTCACTCTGAAACCCACTGCCATTTTTTCGCCCAAATCCCTCTTGCACGACCTAAACGGGGCATCCATTCTCTTCGCCTTCCCAACCTGTCAACGCCTTACTGGCGTTGCCGTTGCCTCGCGGCCCAGCCTGGCCTTGCTGAACTCTCGGATGCCTGTCACTAAGGGCAGCACCTGCTCGCGAGGCAACAGCTTTTGGATGGTTTGGCCCGCTTCGACCTCAACCAGGCGGGACGGACCCATCTGAATGTGGGACCGGGGGCCCGATGGGGGCCAGTCTGGAAGTCGGGATGGACACCGTGGACGGTGTTTCACACCGTGACAGTTTTGTTGGTCGTTTCTTTTTTGGGTTTTGGGACAAAAAAGGGGAGCGAAGAGGACCGCGAGGGTTTGGGGCTGGGGTGCCGAACAGGTCTCATGTATGCAGAACTGTTCGGAATTGAATGGGAGGTCTACAATTACAAGGAGCGAGGGGTCGCCGTGAAGAGAAAACCGTGTGGAAACAGTGCATGCTGACTTGCAGTGCCTTGCAGCCGCCAGACATCAGCAAGCCTGGCAACTGCTCCGAACCTTCCGACTCATCGGCGTCTTCCGGGTTCCGGTCGCGCGGACGTCTCCAGCTTGGAGAGTAGACCTTTGCAGCTACAGCCAAACATGGCTTTCGCAGGGGCTCCAGTCGTACCTCCTCAGGTTCGGTATGACACCCTCCTGGCACCCACCTCAAACACCTTCGAAACGAAGGCACTTGGAGCCCTAGGCTTCAAAAACCATGTTGTTGATGACGCCAGTACTCTCAGATGTCATTCACGGCACCTGGCTCCAAGTCGAGGGTGGTTTCAGTGATGAACACAGTGGAATCACTGGCGGTATGAAACAATATGACAGTGGACACAGGTGCCGCTGACATCAGGAAGCTTCCAGGCCAATCCAATTTAAGTGATGCTGCTTCCTTTGGACAGTCTCAAGACAAACGTGAAATTGCACCTCCGCTTAATGTTGTGGCTGGACAGATCTACCTCCTCGACCCTGTCACGATTCACCAAAGACTGAGCTGGCAAGACTGCCGTTGAATCATGACCTGTGGTCCTCCATTGTTCGTTTTAGCCATTGTTCGAGGTGAGTACCTTTCAGGCAAGAACTCGTGCACATGTCAGACAGGCTAGGATACCCTAGGGTCTTAAGTCACCCTGCATAAGTAGCTAGGGTGACTCAAGTAGCAGTTTTGACACATTCCGTTGTTGCTCCGCACGTGGGGTGTCGGCCGACCCGCACGTGGGGTGTCGGCCGACTCGCTCGTGCTCGGCCGGTGCGGCGGGTCGGTCGAAGACGCTTCTGACGACCCGTCGACGCGACCTCCGGGACCCAAATCCGGAGGGGTCTGGAGTCTGGACCAAACCCGGTTTTGAGGGAACGGCGCAGCCCAAGACGGCCGGCGTCAAGACGGCGACATACGCCCAAGTGAAGCCTAACACGTTCTAACCATCTAACAACCAAGCAGATTCGTTGATGGAAATGAAGCCAGTGCCTATAGAAACTACACCCGGGAAGATTAACATGGAACCTGAAAATGGAGCTTTGGAAGATTACATTCCGCTACAACCCAGTGGTTCTCAGGTTCTATGTTAATCTTCCAGGGTGTAGATGTTTTTTGATATTTTTTTGGGGGGGCTCAGAAGGTGGCCAATGATTGCAACTAATGCAATTCTATCTATATTCACACTTCAATATTGTGCATGTTGGCCTTGTCAAGGTCAAAGTTATCTAGAGTAAGACAATTCAGAAGCACTTACTTAAAGATCATGATAGGCCCTATAGTCTTCTAGGAACTTATTTTGAAACTTGAAGCAGGTGGAATGCCGCTTGGACTTTGACAAGAAGTTCGTCCACGAAGCCATTAGCGAATGGTACGGGGCGCGGACACCACCGTGGGTGGGTGGGGTGAGGGGTGGGTGATGGTTGAGCTTGGAAGAAACCAAGAGTCGTGTGGCTGCTCCCGGTGATCCTTAAACATGTTTCTATTTTCCATGCTATCCCAACATGGGGATCCTGAAGCTATCTCCAAAGAAACGCCAAAAACCTTGGTTTCACACGTTTTCACTGTGGTCACCAGGGCTGTTTGGAACAGATCGACCGCTTGTTTCAAACAGGTCCAGCAGAGGTTAAAGAACCCTAGTTCGGCTATCCCAGGAACCGGTACCCCAGGTTTTCCGGGTCCCATCTATCGTCACTTGACCTCTCTGACGGGCGCGCTTTCGGACTTGAAAGGTTGTTTCCGGGCACCGGACTCGGTTTCAACCCGGGACAGGCAGATCTTATCTTGGGCCAAGACCAGGACCCCCCCCAAAAAAAATAAAAACGCTTGCAACGTGCGCCGCGAGCTGACCATACTTTGGGAATGACCTCATGTATTTCGGTAAATCCAAGTGTTCAAGGTGTTTTCTTTCCCATTGAGCCAGCACGGGAGCCTTAAAGCGTGAATTACCCTCACTGTGCCTGAAGATATTTGTTCACCATGGTTCACCACAGATTTTGATCCTCACCCAGACCATCTATGGGACTGGAACATTTACCTCCGCCTCTATGACCCCAATGTAGGTAACTATTCCAGTCCCATGGGTGGTCTATCTGGGCCATGCCAAGTCTGCAGGGCCCGGAGGCCTTCACGGAGTATGTGAGAGGCCCTTTGCATCAGGAGCCGCTTGGGCAGCTGGAAGTGGCGAAGGACGGGGTAACCCGTGTGGTTGGAGTCGACCGTTCATGAGGGATTGAATGGTAAACCCATGGCAAAACCCCTAGTTGGCTCAATTAGGAGCAGATCCAAGGAAAGGCAGCTTAGGGGAGTATACGGGCTGAGTCGAGGTGGAAGAGGTAGTTGGAGTTCTTTGTCTTTTTTTTGGGGGGTGGGAGTGAAGATGGTGGGGGTTGACACTGGTTGGAGGGGCGGGATGGGATTGTATGGAAACAAAAAGGGTACCCTTTTTTAGAGGGTCCATCTCGGATTCGGGGTTTGTTGTTGACCTAATAAGGACTTGCACGTTCAGAGCTCTAGCAGTTCTAGCCAGTAAGAGGAGCAGCACTAGGCATTGTCCTCAGAGAATCTTCGTACCCTCTACACTACGCTTGGATGGGGCTGGAAAGTTTCTGAGAGGAGGACCAATCCTGCTTCACTGGATTGAAAGAAAACAACATCGTCTATACGATATGTCGACATGATCCATGTTATAACTCTTATTTGTTCCTATGACGCGAGCAGCTATGATGGACACCTCGGCCGTGGACTTGAAAGTCGATCCCTCGGCCGAGGCTGATCTCTGCGAACGTGCGGCACGTGCGGCAGCTAGTGCCCTGCCAGTATTGTTGCATCATCATCACGCCCATGCTGCTCAGCTGGGGGGGCAATTGGAGAAAAAAGGTTGGGGCTTGAGTCAAACTGGTCATGTGATGCCATGGGATGGCATCATGGGCCTCACAGCACACACATGGACACACATATTGAAATAACATTGGGGGTTCCTTCTTCACATCTTGAGATTTCAGGCCAGGGTTGGCCAGGATGTTCACCTGGACAATCTTGGACATGTGACATGATATGCTACGGTATGCTTATCATCTTGGAAGGGTGGTCTTGAAGACCACATAGAAGACCTCAAAGATATCATATCACAATGACAAGATATCTATTTGATGGAAGAACGGTTGCGCTGACAAGGCTTATCAAGGTTGCAGACTATAGCTAGGTAGAAGGGCCAGGCCTGATAGGGGCCTGGTAGGGCACATTGACCATTCCATAATTTATTGCATAGACTCATGGCGTTTCAACCTTTTTGGCGAAAAACTCCCTGTCGTGTTGCCATAGTAAGTAAGCAGTTAAGATCTGCTAAGTTAAGAGTTTGGACGAGTCCGACGTGTGTGCCGGATGTTCGATGCTCAGGCTGGGTGTGGCGCTCAACTCGATGGTAGGTCTGGCCAAGGCTCAGGCCCGCCCGATCCGGGCGGCTTTGGCGCGGATCCATGAGAGCTATCCAGTGACCTGAACAAAAAGGACCCGAATCACCTGGGGCACCGGTTCCTGGGATAGTCGAACTATCGGGTTTTGATAGTCGAACTCTTTTGGTAGGCTTGGGATCTTTTCACAAAAACTCACTCACACGGAAGTGGAGAAGGAAACCAGAGGTTGAACCATGGAAACCATCATGCAGGTCCAATCTGACCCCAACAAACTCCTATAAACACCTTCCTCTTCCTGCCAGGTGAGGATTGCCAGATAGATCCAGATGGCATCAGATGCCGAAAAAAATAAACAAATGCCACAGGTTTGGATCATTCCGACCTCAGGGTCACCTGGCTGCCGCCGGGATCTCCACACCGTTGGATGGCGAAAGCTAGCCTCAGCGACTCCATAGTCGCTCTTGCTCCGTGGCTAGCGGCGAGCTTCTTCGTTCACCCCCCCCTGGCTTCGTTCGTTCGGGGTAGGGTGAACGAAGAAGCTCTGCGCTTCGAACTTCAGCTCTCCCGGTCCCGAACGCCGCGTTCTGACGAGTCACGCGTCAACAGCAGCGGCCTCTGATTTGGAGGGCGAATCGGCCGTTTTCGCAGCGGCGGGGGGGGGGGAACTGGAGAAACCCACATTTTAGATCCTTTTTGAAGAGTCCAAGAGCTCGGAGCTACAATTTTCGCCTGATAGATCTTGATCAGCATCCCAACTGATGGGGCAAGACCTCTCCCTCTCCCTCTCCCTCCCTCCCCTCCCTCTCTCTCTCTCTCCGCCTTTACCGTCAACCCATGGATGGTGAGGGATCCAGCATGGGACTCGCCCGTCCATGGCGGACCAACAGAGCGGACGAAGACTCCGGTCGTCGTCGAAGCACGGTGCCTTTTTGCGCCAGCCAGGGTCATGGGACACCATGGTCCAGGGTACATTGAAGTCAGGTCCAGGATGTTCTAGGTATAGTGGAATCTGATTGTTTCCAGATGAGGCATTCTTTGGAGAGAACATGAGAGAACCATAGACGACCACAGCCCCAAGAACGTCGCCCCAAGTCGCCCCCTCTTCCGTGCCCCCGGACCGGTGATCTTCAACGAACGTCGTAAGAGACGCAGGGCTCGGGCCAGGCACCCCTCTGGATCGCCGTGGCGTTCTTCTTTGCGGTGGAGTCTCGGTACATGATGGAGGACGGTAAAGGCGGAGAGAGTGAGAGAGGGAGAGAAAGACAGAAAGAGAGAGACAGAGAGAGTTCAGAGTGAGAGAGAGACAGAGAGAGCTTCCGAACATGGCCATTCGAGTGTCAGGTGTCCGTCATGCGTTTGTCACATGTAGCAGCTGGCGAGCAGCGCAAGCAGAGAGGCTCACCCCCAAAGAGTCTGTGACACTGCCTCACTACTTGGCCTCAGGATGTTTGAGCATGGTTTCGGATGCTCTGTATATATTCTGTGTATGTTCCACATGTGTGTTCCACATGTGTTTTCACCATTTCCCAAACGCTCCATGGGACTGCCATACAATATGCCTACATCGGGGTGACAGGTACCCTAGGCTTCCAAGACCATTCAAAGAAAGGTTGACCTGGTTGCGTAGTGTAAAATCCTTAGTAAAACAATGGTGGTTCGGTAAAGGCCATTAAAACAATGGTTGTTGGAAGCCTAGGGGGTATATTCCAGTCCCTTGGAGTGTCTGGGATTTGCTTGGGATGATTGAACTCACTGACCACGACCACTGGTGATTCGCTGTGTGGGCCGACCTCAGCCGCTCCGCCCAGGTCTTGGGGCTCTACGTGTGCTGGTTCGCTCTGATGATTCAGCCGCGTGGTTCGCGGAGGAGGAAGCCCTTGATGATTCACTTGTGGTCAGAAACCCTCGCAGTTCTTAATTTTTGTTTGCGAAGTTTCTGGTCCGGTCGGTGCCCAGAAAACACATCAACGATGACAGCAAAGCTATATTATAAGACTATACGACTATACATATGTATATATAGAAGAGAGGCTCACCCACCATGGCTGCAGTACTACTGTGTATTTTTGGCAGTGCGAATTGGACACATTTTACAGTGATTTCAAGAAGTGCATGGCGCAGACCTCAAGATGTCCTTCAGATGGTCCACTACTAAAGCACGAACCGGGGCCCTGCTTGCATCGAACATTTGAAACCACAGTAGTGACCCAAATCCCTATAGGGATCCAATGATTGGAGAATATTGGAGACACTGTGATGTACTGGTAGGTGCCAGGAGGGTCCAGTCGTACCGAACCTGAGAAGACCTTTCTTCGTCCACCGACCTTGTGCAACGACCGAAAGGTTGGCCTTCTTCTTGTGCGACCGCTTCGCCAAGCCGTGGCCTTGCCTGGATTGGCTCCAGACTGTGCCTTGGCAGACGAGGCACGGGCGGCACGATCCATCATGGTCCATCCGTCTCACGGGCGGCACGGTGTTGCTCGCATGTGACTTACTTGGTTTGTGACCGTTAGATTCAGATTTCACGTCGTAAATATATAGTGAGTAAAGAAAGAACACACCTCATAAACCGGATCTTCAAACCTGCAAGTTAGGTGAGTTATTTTCGTTGGTCCTCGCGGAGGTTTTCTGTGCCGGAGCACCCCAAACGGTCTTTGCTTTGTCTTTGGGAGGCTGCGACCTGGCCTCGAACCTCCAACAGATGAATCCCCATGAATGACTGCATCCTTCCAGAACTCCTCGTTTCCGACCTTCAACCGGCCACCGGCGGTTCAGGAAAGGGGCGTCTCCCTAGACCCCTTAAACCCTCCAGTTAGTGGTGCAGCGGGTGCATCCCCCACGACCCGCGCGCCAGACGACCGACACTCTGGAGGTCAAGTGACCTGGACCCGAAACATCTGGGTACCAACCAGTTCCGAACAGTCCGGTTCTGACCCACAGAGGTTAAGTGCCCTTATAGTATATTATAGGACCCTACAGGGGTACCTATAGGATAGTCTATAGGGTTCTTCAACCTCTGTTCTGACCCACCTCTGTTGGACGCTCTGAGATTCTGATCTTCCTCTTCTTCGCCGTGGTCGCCCGGGCGCTGAACATGAGATCGGACTCACTCCCCTCGTAACCGGTCGCTGGGGACGGAAGAGCTCACATTAAAGCTCCAACAAGAAATTGCTAAAATTTGATTGCTGTAGGACGTATTGTTCGGGTGGTTGTTTGGGTGGTTTTCTGGATGTTTCTTGTCACGTCCACTTGGATAGGTGGTGGCGGTGGCTTCCTCCCTCGCTTCCTTCTTTTCTGGATGGACATGTCTTTTAAGACCTCCAAAGGCCCAAGCTCGGGGGTGCAGCCTGACCGTTGGGCAACCACAGCTGAAGTCAATGACCGATGTATGATGGATGAATCTGTATATACCCCGCTGAAGACTCACATGGACCCTGAAAACCACTGGTTGGTAAAGGAAACCAGTCTTTCAGGGTGCCCTTCGAACCGGGTCCACGTGAGTTTTTTGTGGTGCTTTCATCCATATCACGGGTTGAGAAATTGAGCCATGTTATGCAATTTTCAGGGCCAGGGTCATGATTTGCCCGCGATTGTGGCTTGGTTCAGCATGAACGGTTTAGTCACAAGTAGTGAGTACACTGGTTCCCTAAAGGCCCTAAATCGGTGCAGTACACTTGACATGGATGAGTACCCGCTCCGACCATCCGGGACAACAACCATACAAGTCCGTGTGTATGCCCTAGGCTTCCGTTCGACCATTCAAAGAGTTCGGTTGACCTGGTTGCGTAGTGATGCGTAGTGTAAAATCCGTAACACAATGGTGGTTCGGGAGTCAGGCCATTAAAACAATGGTTGGCCAGGAAGCCTAGGGTATGACCATCTCCAGTAAAATGAGGTCAAAGGACCGAGGTTCCGTCTCAGCTGAGATCCCGGGGATCCGCCCATGGATCGCGCGCTTGCGCGACCGGAGCCGCTACACCCAGACCATGTGGAACCCAAACGGCCGCTAGCCCTCGAGGATGGGCATGGTGGAACCTACAGATCGGACCATGGATCTGCTCGTCTCGTGAGAATCTCTCGGCGCTACGTTCAATCTCTGGCCACGATTTGACCTGGAACCGGTTTCGATGGTTGAAAACACCCAGGGCATCCAGTGTGCCAGGCAGTTCCCACGATGTCGCTGGGAGTCCCAGTGGTTCCAGTTCGACCAAACCATATAGACCTCTAGAATCCCTGGTTCCTGAAAAAGAGTGGTTTGCCTGGGATCCACTGGGACAGTTCACAGCCCAGTGCTCCAAAACGTTGGAGAACCTCCAAGCGAGGTGTGTGCGAGTGGCTTGCAACTCGGGGTGATTGCCTCGGACTTTGGTCCTGGCAGCGCCCTCCTGTGGTTCTGGGCTTCTCGGAGTTGGAGTAGTAAATAGACCCCCGGGAGATGTCGGAGATGGGCAGTGGAGATGGAGGAATGACCTGGTTTTGCTTGAGTTTAGATGTTCCATGATTTTCCCTATATTATCCTATATTATGGTTAAATCATGATAGATTCCCTTCTGGATTTTTCCAGGTTACTTAAGCAAATCCAAGATGATCTCTTACATCAGGGACAGTGGCGAGTCCCAAAATAGCCAGTGCTTCGACCATAGGGTCATGTGATTCATGTATAATGTTCGGCCTCAGGCCTTAGGGAGCTGATTTCGGAGAGGTGTTCTTTTCCTTGAATCTTCGACAAATACGATATTTTTCTGGACAAACAATTCAAGGAACTGTTGATACTTCCCTGTCAACAGGATCTCCCAAAACAGTGTCTCGCTGTTGCCTGGGTAAGTCTAAATCATAGATCAGTGATGAACACAAACAGCATTTGGGGTGGTAGAGAAGATCACACCACTCAACAAAACACAGGGTTTCTGCAGAACCACTGACCCTTGCCACGCCGAACACGGCAAACCGGTATTTTTTTTGTATTTCATGGTATTTCTTTCTTTCTGCGGCCGACGGTCGGGTCATAGACAGAGAAAAACCAAGGGCAAGTTCCTCGCATGGGTGTTTTTTCATATATCCCAGACACTCCATGTATGCCATATATGCCTACATTGGGGTGGTTTCAGAGGTCAATGTAGGTAAATATGCCATACATGGAGTGTTTGGGTATAGTGGAAAGGTCCAAGACCGCTGGGAGAGTCGAGAAGGATCATTCGCCCCAAAACATAGCGCCAGCAGTTCCAAATGGAAGTGGATTTTATATAGCCCCCCGCGTTCGAAATTGAATCCATGTCCCACTGAGTCAGGATTCATCAAGATGGGCCTAGGGGCCAGGTAGGGGCTATCTGTTTATAGCTTTTAAATGCTTTTAATGTGTTCAGTTCCTGGGTTCCGCACCATTCCCGGACCCTTTTGACCCCTCGGGTCTCGGTCGTTTGTTTGGTTTGGTCCCAACATCGTGGGAATTGCCGAGAATCCTTTGGGGAGTGGGGAGAGGTGCACCGGGTAGTATACCGAGCTTCATCCAGGTAGGTTTGCACCTTCATCTTCAGGTCGTGGCGACGACCTTGTGGCTCACCAGGGGTGGTTGGGGCCAAGTGTGCCGCTTCTGTGACGCGTGCTTTCGGGCCCGAGCTGGGAAGGGTCTTAGTGGACCTGACAGCTGAAATCGCATGATTCTGAAGCGGGGAAGAGAGGATGGCGGAGGTTGAGGTGCTGGGAACCTCCAGGTCCAGACCGATCAAATGTAGAAATTGGGAACCTTAATGGATTATTTCGTACAAACACCCTTCTCCGCACAAAGACGTTTCCAACTGCGGCAACATTTCGTGGGAACAAGCAACGCTTTGATGCTCAATCACTATGCAACAAGGATCTCAGCACTTCAAACGAAGGAACCGAGGTCGGCTTCTAGATTTCAAGTCTATACGGTTTTAGTCTTTGTAACCAAACCATTGGTAGTTAGACCCAATATATTAGAGGTTACTGGATCCTCAGGGTTAGATTCCAGATGTTTCACAACTTGTGTTGTTCCTTCTACAATATACTATACACATTGATTCTATTGGTTGGTGTTTCTTGTTCAATGAGCAGGTGAATGTGCATAGGCATGGAAGTCGCCCTTATCATCAATCATCATCTACCATAAAGATTAATCAAGGTTGTCAGGTTGTCAAAAGCTGTTGTATAGCAGGATTGATTGGGTCCAGTTCACCAAGCTGCTCGAGATATGGTGATGGAAAGAGGTCATCAGTTGCCAGGAGACATGAAATCACCCTACGGGCATTGAAAAAGAACACCTCAGATTCAGATGAGACCTGGATGACTCATTCGCTAGCCCTCATTTGCTCCTGCTTCAACGATGTCAGGATCCGGAGGCAATCACATGACATGTTTTTGATTTGGGACCTTTAAATAACCCAAACAAAACAAGAAAATACATGACTCACATGACCGAGGTGCCACCGGAAGGCACATCAAGACCCAACAAGATTTGAACACATCAAGCCACCATCCTCAGCTTACCCGGAACTGACTTCCCCTTGAAGACCTTGATTAGTCGCGCATAGTCGTGCACTGCGCGGCCCGTGACGAATGATTCTCCGCAAGTTAGGCGTCGTCGAAAGGCCTCGGCGGAGATTGCTTGACACACCCATGCTCAGCTCGCAACTCATCCGGGGAGATGTTATCCTGCATCAGCTTTGTTCCTCACTTCCCGCCTGCATCGCAGCAGATTCCTGCCTCAGCTTCAGCCACCACGGACCGTGCCAACCGGTGAAGTCTTTGTGCGATCCACGGATCCACCTTCTCAGGTTCCAAGAGAGGTTAAGTGACCGTAACTAGGGCCGTAACCTGGGGTACCGAACTGGGATAGTCTATAGGGTTCTTCAACCTCTGTTGGTTCGGGACGTGTAAGTCGAATATCGGAACCACTTCTTCGGACCGAGGGGTCACTTCTTCGGACCAAAACCACCAGTTCTTACCAGCGTGAGACGCTATACGGGGGGACAGGCTTGCCTCAACCCAGGGAGGACCGGGTACGTACAGACCGGGTCCGGTCACGTGATCACCTCTGTTGGAGGCTTGCAACTTGGAACCCCAGAATCACTTTGCCACTCAGAGCCGAGACTCTTCGACACCCACGATCTCCGGCGCCGTGCGGTGCGGCCCGGCGCGCTGAGAAGTCAGTCGCGTGTTTGACACCGCGTGAAGAACGCAGAACGGTCCCCAGGTGTGGAGAGGGGATTTGCCGAAAGATATCGATACACCAGGGAAGACTAATAGACCTTTGGAAGACGATTTTCCTCTACAACCCACTGGTTTTCAGGTTCCATGTCTTCCAGTGCATAGTTCCTCCAGTTTGGCCCCCCCAAAAAGATGGTTTGGGGGGCGGAGGGTGACCAGCTCCCCCCCCCACCAAATCCCAGGTTTCACATGGTTTCACTGGGTCACTTTGGACCACCTTCTCTTCTCTAAAAGCCCCACCTCTCTCTAAAGAGTTCCCTGGCGCTGTCCATCTGGAAGAGCATCCACCTGGAACGTCTCCTGCACCCATGTCTTGGAGCCCATCTTGGCCCTTTTTCTCATGACGACCTTGGTGCTATGACCCTATCCGGACCCCACCAGACCTCCGACCCCGGCGTCTCGGGACGTGAAGCAGGACGAAGCAGGACGACGCGAGACCCAGTCTCGCCCAGCGTTGGTAGTGTGACGAGGTCGTCATTGGATGGAAGACAATATGTTTCTTTTACACATGGGAGGTATATATAGTGGGGGGGGGGTGGATGCTTGCTTGAGTTGGCAGGAAGGACGAACACCTCACTTGGAAGTGAATGGCACGTCTTCCACACCTGTTTGGACCGGCTCTGGGTGCCACACCCATGACGTTATGCTGTGAAAAGCAGCTGAAGACGACCACCCTCACGCCACGGCCGTGAGGCTTGAGGGTTGAGGGTGCCGATCAAACTATACTCACATGGCCTGAACAGATGATCCATGATCCTGTGGAAGCACCCGTCCTTAACAAGCAATTGCCCGAAGCAGACGATGCTTGCAGTTTTTGTGCGTTTCGGGGGTGGACGAAGGGCGGGGCATCCATCCATCTCAATCCATCTCTGAATCCTTCGGCGACGACTTCCGCGACTCGCCACGAAGCCCAGAGCCACTGCAATTGGTGTTCACCCAGCACTCGACGATGCCCACGATGCCTCAAAGAGTTCTTGGGAGACTGAAAAAAGGCGGCAGGTCGTGACCTGTCAGTGATGTACTAGACATTACTAGACTATACCAGTCGCACACTGCTTACCTCGCAAGACTCGTTTGGACCTCAACGTCTTCACGGAACACGGTCGTGAGTCGTTTGGAGACCCTGATCCGACCGAATGCGATCAGCCGCGCCTCCTGAAGTGCCTGTGATGGTGAGGGATTCATGTTCGGAGTTGTGACCCAACTTGAAAAGAAGTCACCTGGGAGGCTCAAAGAACCTTTGGACAAGGAGTAAATTCGTCCCATTTCCTCGTACCCAGACACTCCATGGGACTGGAATAATATGCCTCCATTGACCCGCCTGGCACTGCCCCAACTGATCGGCAGGCATACATGGAGCGTTTGGGATAGGTACCCCTGGGGCTCCAGTCGTACCTCCTTAGAAGGTATGACTGGACCCGAACATGGCACCCACCCCAGTCCCACCTTCGAAACGAAGGTCCGACTGGAGCCCTAGAGTTCCCGCATTGGATGTATTGGAGGGTGTCAACAGGCTCGGCAGATCGGCCTCGGCATCACTACCGATCGGATCCTGGGACAACGACGGTGGACACGAAGCGGCGCGGCGATCGGTGTCCCCAGCGAGGGCGAAGAAAAAGAAGACGAAGAACTCGGGAGGGAGGGGAGAGAAGGGCCAAATGAGACTGGAGCCGTTTCCAGTCTCCAAGGTATTTGTCCCAATTGAACTAGGGAGCCTTGAAAACTGGGACATACTGGGACCACGAGAGTTTCCCAAGCCCGACAGCTCAGGAGTCAGGTGAACTTTTACATTTGAACATAGCTCAGCAGTCAGACATCTATCGTTGTGCTGATTTCCGAGTGGTCGATGTGGCTGGTCAAATTGCACATGTTTTGGACACGGTTACTGTTTGGTTTGGACCTCCATCATGGCATAGCGACTATGCCATAGTGCGGCTTGGTGGAGGAAGGAGTTCAGTGGACTCCACAAAGTTTGGCATTGTAACAGTGCTTTCTGCTTTCTGCCTTCACCGCCTTCACCACACGTATCGGGTCCCAGACGGAATAGAGGGGGAAACTGGACCGCTTGCGGGTATTTTTTGGCCGCCAGGCAGGCCCATCGACAAGTGGGCAGTGGGTACGAATGTGAGGTTGCCAGACCTGCAACTTAGGATATTCCGAGCGAATTTGTCCTTGTTCTATGCTACCCGGAGCGCTTATTGGATCAATGTCCGGCTCAAGGATCTAAACGCACATCAGCCCGTACTGTAATATAGATGATATACTGTAGAGTCTCTACTAAAGTCAACACTTAGCAGTTCACCACTTCTTCAGCGACCGCGGCAAGACGCAGCCACGGTCGCATCAATATACGCTCAGTCATGTCATGTCCGCGGCGCAGGGTGACGACCTGAATCAACCAAAGGCCCCCCTGAAAAGATGAAAGTCTTCGACGACCCAACCATAGGCCTAACGAGGGCCCCTGGTTCCTTAGATAGTGGGAACTGCCTGGGATCCACTGGGATAGTTGAAAGGCCGATACACTCCCTGACACAATCATGGAAGTGGAACAGGGTGCTAAATTGGCATTGTTCGAATACAAACAGATGTGTGTTTTTTTCCACATCCATGATCTATACTGGGAAGGTATTGTTTTTTCCCTCCCCCACTCTACCCTTTCAAAACAAGCTCAAGAAGGTAAAAACAGGTCCTGTATTTGTTCATTTGTTTTCTACCCACAATCAGAAAGATCATGGGGAACTCTCCCTGCTCGCGGGGCATGGCACCCCCAACAACACCTCACTGTTCAGGCCGGCGATCCCAGATCCGCCCCGTTCTCACCACACCCGGCACCGACCTCGTTGGCGGCCCTGCGACCTCGTTGGCGGGCGGGTGCGAGCTTCGCTGCGTGGAGAATGGCTGAATGACCGTGTTGGGGAAGATTGGCGTCGGCATCTGGGCGGAAGGACCTCTCCGTGGGGCTCCGTCGTCCCAGGTGGCCGGGCTGGGCCAGGTGCGACCGGAGCCTGGAACGAACCGAGGCCCGGACGCCGAACCGGGACGCTGAAGTGCACCGACACCGGTTTCCGGGTGGGCCTGGTTCGAGCTCACGAAGCAGATCTCAGATCCCCGGACCATCCGTGGGACTGGAAGAGATGTTCTATATAAATGCCATGATATGCCTTGACTCTCCAACCACCCATTGTCTGGGTGGTGGTTTCAGACATATGTATGTTCAACCTCTACTTGACATGATTGATCCCTTTGACTCATATTTCTCTAAGTGATTTGCAAGCATAAACCAGGTTTGGATATGTTTGGCCAAGACGTTCCAAAAAGCTAGAGTTCCACCGACCATGAAGCAGCTGTCCTTGTTTCTGGTGCCATCCGGAGGATTCGGGGGACGTGTTTCTCACTGGTTCTTCGTTTTGGACCGTCGCTTGGAGCACGTCGCGGGTGGCAGAAAAGCACTTCGGTGTGGGGGTCGATGGGGACGCCAATGGGGTGTATATTACAGTGGATTGAGAGTAGATGGCACAATCACCGAGGTCGGTGGTTTATATGGATCCCCATCCAAAAGACATCTTGGGGTGCCAGTGCCATTTGCTCTGAAACCACCGTAATAAAAGAGGACTTCCCAGTTCGTCTCCCTGGAAGGGGAATAGACCAAAAGCAGTAGGGAGTCTCCCTGTAAGCCTAGACAGGACACCTGAGTGACCCTTTCTGTTTTCATATAGGGCCTTTTCCTGTCAAAACAAACGTCCAAAGAGGTGTTGGGTGGTTGTTACTGAGGTACATTGGTCTTGCTGGTCATCATCTCATCAGAAGGCAGGTGGTTAGCACAACTTCTCCTGCAAACTGTTTGGTCAAAAGCCAATTCTGTGGGCCAAAGTGCCCTGCAGAAGGAGATGCTTGGCTCAGAAAGCAACCTATTTTTCCTACCCTTGCACTTCCCGCAGCCCAAAAAAACGAGACAGTTCGGATGAACATTGGCCAAGCACATGGTATTTGGGGGTTCTATAAACCACCGGTTTCGCTGGGTGGTGCTGGTAGAAATTAGTTGGGTGGTCTCCTTGCCCTGTTGGAACTCTTGCATATGTTGACGGTCCAATCTGAAAATTATTTTGACTTGCTTGAGAAGTTGAAGCAACTTCAAGTTTCATGTTCTGTGACCACCTGCCATCACCTGCCTTTCTGAGGATCCGCAAGGGCCACATGAATGCCAGCTCACCGAGATTGAACCTGCCCAGTCACGGACTCTCCAAGCCTTGCCTGAAATTCATCCACATCCCCAAGAACGCTGGCACATCCATTGAGCCATGTCGGAACTCCTTCTCGTTCGAAACACGACCGATGGGACTGCCATAGGACTGCCGCCCCAGTGACCCCCAGTCAACCATCCCTGGCCTGATCGGCATATATGGCAGTCCCATGGAGTGTCCGGGATGGATACATCCGATGGCTAAAGAGTCTGAGAGATGATCACATGGTGAGAGGATGTGAGAGGCAGATTCGTTCGCTTTCGGCATAGCGGTCGATCAATCATCGATCCTATTTGTTGGCATACACCTTTACTACTGCACTGTATGCCAGCACTCAGTTGGGATGGTTATGAGTAAACACGTGGGGCCGGGGGGTCTACAAGCCACCCGACTTGGGTGGTCCTGGTATAGACTTTGTCCCTGCGGCGGCATCACTTGTCACGCCGTCGAGCAATTTGCTCGGCCTCCTGTGGAGCGCATCGATCGCCTCATCTGTCGAGCAGATCAATCGAGTCGCTATGGGTGGTCAGAATCGGGCTCAGTATCGGTGGGGTCGCTAGACGATCTCGCGCAGGTGTTTCCGGTTTGTCCGGTGTCCACCACCTGGTTTGGATGTTCCTAAGGTCTTGGTAGTGGATGTTCATTTCATGAAAACACTCTCTTGAGACATCTTGAGACCAAACTATGCAATTTTTAGACAACAAGCGGGCACCGCATGGTGTCGTTTGTCTTTTTCCTTGCATTGCTTTGCATTGTGTTGGTCAAGGTTTTAAGCATAATCAAGCTGTTTCCACCCCAGCTATTCAAACCTTTGATGAAGACTTTGCAATCCAAGACACGGTCCAATCTCTTGGAATGCCCCTTTCCGGGGTGCTCGCCCCAGGAACACCTGGGGAAGAAGCTGAACCTTCACTGGGGCGAATTTGACGACTCCTTGCGCTGTCGCAACGCTTCAAGATGTCATCAAACCCTACCGATTTACAGCGGCTGAGCTTCAAAGTTCTCTTGCCGCCTTGCTTACGCAAGCGATATATGAGTTCTGGATAATCTCCTTCTGTAAGGCACCTGAAGATGGTGTTGATCTTGTAGATCGATGGGGACTGGTAAGCTAGTAGCATGGCTGACGGTCACTATCATGGTCTCATCGTGGATGGAATCCTTCAAGATCCCTCAAGCAAGTGTCAAGAAGGAAGTTTGTCATTCGCACGTGTTCAGCGTGTCCCCCTTCACTTGATAGATGGAGGTCAGGTGAATGCCAAGTCTGCTAGGTTTGCTAGGATCGCCTCCTCAGGAGACTGTTGCTGGCCCAGAAAGACGACCGCTTGCAGCTCCTCGGCCTTGTTTAACCGGCAGTTGGCAAGGTGGGCGGGCTGGATGTGTTTGGGAAGGTTGTCCCGACCTTCTCAAGTTGAGGGCTACGAGCCCCAAAATTGGGTTTTGGAAGGGTGTACGTCACCGCCAAGTGTTTACTCTTTTCCAAGCTGAAATGCACAAATTTTATGGCCGTCCAGTGGATGAATCATTTGGAAGGAAGTAACAGCAGCCATGGACAATGTTTGAAGCCCATCAACACAGACCATGATCGTATACCCACAGATGAACTCTAATTAACTGCACCCACGGATGCCAATCTACTATAAAGCCGTCCCAGACCATCCATGTACACATGGAATAGTAATGAATCGTATGCCTGCATGGACCCTCCAAGGGGTGTCCAATGGACTACCTCACACTATACCTATAGGCTTCCATTGGGCACCCCTTGGAGGGTCCTGGTGTTCAATATGTCACATGTAACTCCCCAAGCATCCTTGGGCCCTCCATGGTCGGCCCCGGTTTGGACTCTCAAATCCCTTTGCATTGGTTCGGGCCCGGATTCTTAGGGCTATATTATACATTATTATACAATCCCTAGGGCTCCAACCATATCCTCAGAAGGTGTTAGACCCCCCAAACTCGCCTCAACCATCTTCTCAGGAGGTGGTTGGAGCCCCAGGGAATACTATCCCAGCAGTCGCGAAAGGGGGTGCTTCATGGAGTTTACGGGATTTAGGGGTGTCCATCATCCACTCACTGGATGGGATGAGTCACACCACACCCCGCTCCATGTGACTCCTGTTGGATGGATGCTCTGACACTGGTCCTTTGACCTGGCCCAAAACGGCGTGCCACGGCCTCGAAAACCAGCGAAAAGCTGACAGGTCTGTGGCACTACCCACCCAGTGCGGACGCGCACCTCGCGGCCGTCTACGCCCAATGCTCCACCTTTGGCACCTGGGCCGAGGTACTCGGTGGCGCCCAGCGCGAAGAAAGCGGACTCGACATCAGAGCACCAAACTCACCCACACCAAGCAAGACAAAACGGACGGGGGCGGCCAGCCCGCAGGCGTCCAAGCTTGGGGAACCCTATCCAAAAAATGACACAAAGGAGGTCATAGCAATAACCATTCCCCACCACATAGGAAAAGGGTCCACCATGACTGCAATCTCGATACTTTCCCTGAGCTCGTTCCATATCCTCCGCTTAGGTGGTGTTCGATCATGTTAGAACCCCAAAAAAAATACACACCCACCCCAGTCCCATCTTCGAACCGGAACGCCCGTTCTCCCGTTCGAACGGCCCGTTCTCGAAGAGACGGGTCGATTGCTCCTGCGGTGCCGAGGTGTCGTGCGAGATCCCCTGCGACGCTTCGTCAGCCAGTACTTCTGGATCACCAAGGCTCACCACGAGCCAGGCATGGAGAGGGAGAACCATGGATAATCTGCGGCAGTGACGGGAGAACCAGCGGAAAGATCGGAAAGACCGAGACACAGCGTGGGTTTAGGGTTACGGTTAGAGGTGAACCATGGAGGAGCTTAAGGCTTGTGTTTTTCGTGGTATGCCGGTCAACGGTGAGCTGACAGGGATGAAGAGACTAGATTTGAAGAGTGAAGACTGCATTATACAAGGACGCTTTTCGGACGTTCACAAGGACTGGTCCTGTGAGGGCCCAACCCGAAAAACGTGTCGACATGTGTCAACAAACGGCCTGCAGTAAGGGTACTGCCTTATATAAGAGCCAAGCATGCCAAAACAGGCCCTGCGGATCCAAAAACCTGATCCTCTCCAACCTATGGAGATGTAGGGGCCCTGTCCTCTCCGTTGGAGGCTTCATGGAGGATCCAAGGCATGCCCGGGCACCCCGATCTCGGTGCTCCGAAGTCGTCGGCAGGACCGCTGTGTGATCGGGAGAAGTTCGAAGCATATGCCAATCGGACGCTGCTGCTGGACTTCAAAGCGGTGGAATCAAACAGAGGTTGAAGAACCCAAACTAGACTATCCCAGTTCGGTACCCCACTAAGGGTCCTATTTAGGGTCACTTAACCAAGACCGGCGAAGTCATGACAGGTGGGCCGCAGGCAGACTCGGAGAAGAGTGCGTGGATTGCTGTGCGGAAGCTCCCAACTGCTGAAAGGGTCTGTATAGTTTGAAGGGCGGGCCTTTAATTCCAGCGAACTTCTTCCAAAGACACCACAATGCTGAAGAGCTCGATCCGATTGAGCTTTAAAGGGTGCTTTGTATAGATCTCCGTTCACTTATTTATTCCGTTTAACTTCCTTTGGGTGGTGCGGCAGACGCTACTGTAGCCGCTATATGCCGCTATAGTCGCTATAGCGGCTCGATCAGTCTCCCTCGTCTCCTCGCGAGGTTCGCTCACCGGTGGTTCGTCCGGCTTGTTCAGGCAACGGCTTTTGGAAGATCCTTGGATCGAAGATTGCCACTTGGTGCCGCAAGTGCCGCTTGGCATGGCGGTGTCGGAGCCGAGCCGCCAGTTCCCGTTGGAGCATGGCGCCAGGGTGTGCGGATTAGGTGATGTTTTTACGTTCATATCCCCAACTACGTGTGGGTAAAATATCCCAGACACTCCATGTATGGAATATATGCCTGCATTGACCCCCGTGGCACCACCCCAACTGATCGGCATATCTGGCAGTCCCATGGAGCGTTTGGGTATAGCAACATACCTCTTCATGGGCATGTGTTTGTTTTTCTCCGGCTTCCTGGAAGTCAATCCAAGATGGGGAAGGAAGGAGAGGCCAAATGGTAAGGGTGGCGACGGCGCGATTTTACAGGAGCGCATTGGCGTCTTGAAGGAAGAACATGGAAGAACAGAAAGCAGGTGTTGCGGCTATCATCCAAATGAGCATGGTATTGGCAGGATCACCTGAAGGCGTTTGAGAGAGGGGAAGCAGGGATTGCAACAAATCAAATATATTTAATAACATTTTTAAAAGTACTGTTCTTTGGTCTGTCCTTCTCAAATAGGCCAACGACCTTCTGTTGACCCAACGTATCTAAGAGACCGGTGTAAATCTCCGACATTCTTGGGGTCTCAACCCATCCTGGTCGTTCTCGGTTTTGCATCTCGAGGCACTACGTGGCTTCCCATTCTGGTCAGCGCTTGTGTGATCACATCCTCCACTACGAAAAGCTCCGATCGGAACTGAGCCTGCTCCTGATGCTTGGAGAAGTTAGGTGAAAGGCTGATCCCAACACAGTTTGGTTGGGTTGGGCGGTTGCAACAAATGCGGTTCGAGGTCGGAAGGGTTTTTTTCCATGTTTTGAGCCTTTGGAACGCGAAGCACATGTTGGTTCGGTCCAAAACCCCACCCAGCTATGACAATCCAATGTTTTGGGAACAAAAAATCAGACACTGCTGTGTGACAATGTGATTCATAGAAATGCCCTACTGGATCCTTGTGGCTCCGAGTAAGCTTGGGATTCGGGGATCCTTCTCAATAAAGTGTACAAAGTATACCAATATGACGCCCGTTTGGGCAGGTCTTTTCAGTATTATAGTGGTATATACAAATATTATTTGTGGAATCCTATATGAAGGCATTGAAGGGTTTTCATTTTTGTACGGGCTCTATAACGGTCTGTAATTATAAGGAGTACCCATGTTGCTGACCGAGATCGCTTGCAGGAAGTCCTATAATCTCTTTGACGCGAAGATCAGCCTTCCAGCCGCTTGAAGATGGGTTTTCATGGCACCACAAGACCGTTGACCGACCTGAAACAAGTTGCATGGTAGACCACACCCTCTAAGTTCCTGCGTTGCGTTGAACAGCTACAGCTCTGGTGTCCTTCTGTCTCTTCCGGTCCCACTGAAGGGGGTGGTTGTTTCGTGTTTTCTTTGTTTTCAGGACACCCCTTTTCCGTTCGTGTGTAAGGACACCATCCAATCACCACCCCTCAATCAACCATGGTGGTGTGGTTTAAGGACACCCCCCTTCCTAATCACCACCCCATGCACCGTGGTGGTTGAAACGACCCCTTTGAGTCTTCGTCTTAGACGGCAAGATGATCCCATGCACCGATGCCCGATTCAGCGATGCCCTCACTCCGAATGCCCTACGCGACTTGTGGATCTCCATTTGCCCCTTTGAAGGTCTAGGTGTATATACTGTAGATAGTACATGATAGTACTGTAGATATAGATGAGCTAGATGCTTTTAGAGTAACCTATAAATGACATGTTTGCAGCAAAATATGGTTAGAAAGAACTAGGACCATCCCGGCGCTCTTTTAGGATCTTGAAGTCCTTCCACCGACCGGTCCAGGTGTCGAACCGAGGAGGCGCGGCGTGTCCGGTGGAGGCGCTCAGGATGTCGGCCGCGCTGCAGCAGCGCATCCGGGACGCCTGGAGCATCGCGCGAGGAGGGCGATTGGAGGGGTGAACAGGTGGGGGGTACAGAGTGTTCTCCCGGCTGCCGGGCCCTATAGGGGGTGTCTAATCATAGTCCCTTTAAGAGGTTAAGGGATATGTCCATGAACCACCCCAAAGCGGGGGCCCCGGTTTTCGAGTCCCCATCTACTTGGTCCTTTGGGATCCGGTTTCGGCGTCGAATCCGAGCGATCGGGAAGAGGTCCCGTTCGGCCGGTGCGGCCGACATTTGCGGATCTGCAGGGTTCTGGTAGTAACAAAATAGGAGATGTTGGTGAACAAACATGAGATAGGGTTTTGATAGTATAGGGTGTTTTTTGATAGTAGTTGGGATCGTTTTTTGTTTTTTTGTAAACATGAGATGACCCGGCTATTTCAATGGTGGTTCGACTTCTAGGGTCGTCCAGGGATTGGTGGTCACCTTACTCAATGATGGATTTGTTGGAAAAGGGCTCAACTTCATTTCCAGGCCATTCCAAGGGCAACTCAAGGGCTAAGGCGGCTAAGGTGGAGTCGCAGCTGGAGGATGGTTCCATAGTCTCAGATGAGATACTTCATGATATTTGTCATTATATGTCAATGTCATCTCCGGGTCCTACCCAGTCGATGGAGAACATAGCCATTCGGAGAACCACAGTCCTTCGCCTCTCAATGTCTCAAAGAGGGCCCTTTCAGTTCCCAGTTCTATTTTCTGCGGAGGGCACTGAGGCACTGATATATAATATACTTAACAGATCTCACATGGGTCGAGGCATTCTAAGTATTTTGGCAGACCGTGGCCTGACGGCGAAATTGGAGATACCTTTTGGAGTTCTCCCCAGCTCCAACCTGCTCGGGCAAAAAGACTGGCCGTTTTCCTTCAGTTTTGCCAGAAAAAACATGTGCCATGCCAAACATATGCCATTATAGAGGAGATCAGCGCCTGCAGAGCAATCACAAGTGATTTTAGATGAGAGTCACTCAACATCACTCGGCACTTTGCTGAGGATTTCTTTCACCTGGACTATGAGTTGCCAGGACTTGGACAATGTTTGAACCGTTTGGGCATATGTTTTTTTGTTGCTTGAGCTTGGCACATATGTAAAACATATGGACTGTTTGGGAACCTTTTTTTGGTTGTCCAACGTTGTTTTGTTATGTTTTGTTCTGTTCATCATCCCAAACACTCCATGTATGGCATATGCCTACATTGACCCCTGAAACCAACCACCCCTGGCCGTGCCACTCGGCAGTCCGGACTGGCAGACCCAGACAGGTCGTGTTTGGGCATATATTGCCGTTCTGTCTTTCAAGCTCAGGTTGGGGCTGGGCGCCTAGCCCAGCCGGCCCCGCCCGTGCACTGGACTGAACTCGACCATGTCGTGGCAGTGGCAGCTGGTGACGCCACCGTGGACACGGTGTACCACCCACAGAGGTCTCCAGTGACCTGAACCAAGGACCCTAGGCCGAATGACCTGGGGTACCGGGTTCTTCCACCTCCGGTTGCGACATGTCGCGATATATGTCGCGCCATCGAGTCCGGCAGAGTCGGAGCCTCCGTCGGGGTGCAAAAGTCCAGATCCGAGGGAGGAGAGACGGGGGAAGAGTTGAAGGCGAGACTGGATGGGGAGAAGAAGGTCAGAATCACAGCATCGATCAGCCTTCCAAGACCGTTCAAAGAAAGGTGGACCTGCAGTAGTCTTGAATCCATTCTCGAGGCGTCATGGCTGGTCATGGACAAAACATATATGCCCCCACTCAAATGATGGGGGATACCTGGGTCGGCCGAGGATTTCTCCTCAATGGGCTCAGCTATACAGCTATACATGATTGGGCCAACGATAGACCTATCTTAATATTCTCCAATACGTCTTTGGAAATTGATGCGATGTATAAAACCAATGGATGTTCGATGACAACCGATGACAAGGTACATGGTTCTTTTAGATGTTTTTTCGCTGGAGGGAAGCATGTGCTCACCTCTCGGTCACCTGGATTGTTTTGGGTAAGTGGTCTCTACATGTCTCTACTTCCGACCACTTCCGACGTCTCACCAGAGTCACAGACTCAAAGGAATCTCACCAGTCGAGTTGGGCAGACGAATTGGGCGCCAACCAGTCGACCAGACCAGTCGACCGACGGCCTTCGGATCCTTTTCGGCTCGGTGATTCGGAGACAGCTGACAGCGTGGCATAATCAGTCAGTGCCAAACCCTACCCGACAGGGCTCCAAAGTAACTCCTTAAATATGTTTGGGGTGGATCTACTTGGTGCCCAACACATATCGATGTTTTTGGTTAGGTTTTCCTCCGTGGCGCTTGATAGGTGTCGGAGGTGAATGGTTCAATCATCGTGATCGAAGCTGAGAGGTTGTAATCTACTCCCATAGCTGTGGGAGTTGAGCAATCCCTGCACTCAGACTTGAAAACTCCAAGCTTGGAGAACCAACAGCCGAGACCCCACCCTTCAAGCCGGTCTGTGCCGTTGGGATGCCGATGGCCGGGACACGGTGAACGCCCATGCGAGCTCCTGACAGACGAGTGGAGACAAGTGATCTGCACGGAGCGAGCAGTCTCCAGCAAGGAGCCTGGTGTGCGGCTGGTCAACTCGGGTCCAATGTCGAAGTCGAAGCTTGTGGAATGCCTCCCGGCATGAAGAGCCCGGAGAGCCCGGAGAACCCCCGTTGATGACCTTTGGAAGGAAGAGAAACATCGAGAAACTAGATGACCAAACCAACCCCCCACTAGCCCAGCAAAACCAACCCATGTGGATCACAACACTGAACCCCCAAGGCTAGCGCCAGGATGTCAAGAGTGAACCAGGTATTTGGCCGTTCATGTGGACAGTCGGCCTTTTTTAATTTTTCCATATTGTTTCCTGGGCCATTGTTAAGATGGTTGATCTGGTTTTGTAGTGTGAGATCCTTCCCAGACACTCCATGTATGCCATATATGCCTACATTGATTTTGGGGGTCAATGGGGCGGCATATCTGGCAGTCCCACGAGTCATGTTTGGGCTTAGGTCAAAAAGTGGTTGTTCGGGATTCAGGCTATTACAATAAATCCTGTGGTTCCAACGCTTCTCACCAAAAGACCATCATTTCCGAGTCAGGTGAGTCACGTGGAGACTCACCTGGATGTGTTTCCGCACCAACAGAGCTGCAGTCAGAGACCCACCCGACTCTTCGACTCCGAGTCCCGGTACCCCGAAACAGGGTTCTCCGGGTCCGTTCGTTCCGGTCACTGGCGGCAGGGAAGTGACTTCCTCTGGGTCTCTGTCGATCGATCCCTCTCCGTACCGTAACTTCCCGAAGCACCGAAGCACCGGTTTACGTGGGGGAAGCCCACTGTAGGTGTTTTCAACGAAGATGTGGAACTGGTGTGCAAAGTCATCCCTCAGTCTTGGAGTGTACATGTGTGGAACTTGCATGGAAGGAGCTTGGTGGCACCAAGTATACGAATCCAGTTCCAAACCAGAGATGATCAACTTGAAGTTTGTTAGATTGTTTCTTTCTGCACGACCTTCAGACCCATCAGCTTGGGGTGGAATTCGGTGTTCAGGTTGTTGTTGGCGCGTTCCACGCGTTCCACGCGTTCCACGCGTTCCACGGTCGACTCCGCACCGATGCAGGTACTTTGGCTGTCATGTTCTCCGCCTTGACAGCTGGCAGTCTATTTCACGCCTTGAGAGGGAAAGCCCGTACTTTCGGCCAACACATGGAGCAACGCAATGATTTCTTGAACCTAACGAAGGAGACGATGCTTTTTGCAAAGAACCACACAAATGCCACCAGACGCTGCTTAAAATTCATTCACATTCCGAAGAATGCTGGCTCTGCCATTGAAAATCTTGGGTACCATCTGAAGTATGCTTGGGGCCTTCATGATCATTCGTTGCATTGTCTCAATGCATCCGAGTGCTCACAGACAGTTCCTGTCCGCAGACTGTGTTGTTGGCCGAACAATGTCACAGCTTGCAGCGTTTGGCACTATCCGCCCAGCATCCTGCATTGGAGCTTTTAACATTTTTGTGTGGCTCTTTACATGTTTACCAGTATGTTTACCCTAAGCAACTAAGAACCATGCATTGTTTAAAGGGGTCAGTGAGAAACAAAGACACTTAAAAATTTCTTTGATGCAAACCTGATGTTTTTGAAGCCTTTTTGGGCTCTATTTGAGCAACTGGGTTCGGGATGAAGTGCGGCACGGGTCCTGGGCACTCCCCCCAAGTCTGCATGGCACCGTACGTGTGGCGGCTTGAGATCCACGCGCAAGCGCACCGAATCCGAAAAGTCCCAGTCACGAGTCACAACAAGCAGCCAGTAGAGCTCGTTGAATTCATCGCTGGCTGCATCGCAAGTACGTGTTGTGGAGTCTGGTACTCAGACACAAACTGGACACCCGGACCGCAGGCCTCTTTTCAACAAGGACGGTGCCAAGAACCAACGGCTTAACGGGCGAAACCCGAGGGTTTTCGGATGAACCCCATGATGCAATTTTTGTGTAATTTGTGTGAATTCCCAGTGCTTGTATATATTTTGTGCTGGTGCTACTAGGGTACAGAAACGTGCTGGTGACCTGGTGTGTGTTGGGAATAGAATTGGAATTGTGGATTTTACGTGTCTCAGACGGTTCTTTTTTCAAAGCAGTCAGGAGATCTGCCGTTCCTGCCAAGGAATGGATGAAGAGCTGACACAAAATTATGCCAACTGCTCCACCTTCTGCGTGGTGCGGGATCCCCTGCGTCGCTTCGTCAGCGAGTATTTCTACATCTCCAAGCAGCGTCACACGCCAGGACCGCGCGCGGAAGCACCGCACCCGAAAGCAGGTGAGGCGAAGCAATGGGAAGAAGCGACGTTTTGAACCTGCAATGCTGCAGTTTCCTTAGGGAAACTTAGGGAAACTCGAAAAAAGCTTGGTTCATTCCATTTGGGGATCATGAAAGCCACCGAAGTGAAGCAGTCATTGCATTTAAAATTAGTCGACTGGGCCTGGCGTTTCATGGGGACTTTGCCTTCCATGCCAACCACTGAGACGAGCAATGTACTGAGCTTCAATGCCAGCTTGGAGGACCCCTGTGCAATCAACGGACATTCGAGGAGTATGCCAATGCGACTTTGCCGCTCAGTCCGCAATTCGATTTTGAGGATGCCACAGCCCAAACGTTTGGGATCTAGCCTGTAGTCCACCTTTGAGAAAGTATTTGAGGGTTATGCAACACCTGCAAATGCTTGCGACAACCCGAATTCTTGCCTGGATCTCTCCATATCTCTCCTAAGCCGTCACGTAAAAGCACGCGCGGTCCACGCGGTCCAACTCAGAGGCTTCACCGGCGATGCCCAACAGCTTCACCGACGATGCCCAACAGCTCAACCTACTGTTCCCTTCCGTTTGCGCCTGTCCGAGCTCGTTCCCCCGACGTGTCAGGCAACGTTTGATGATAGATCCGTGGATCGACGATTGCCACCACGTGCCGCAAGCGACGCTCGGCGACGGGCTTTTGGCCCACACCGGAGAAGGGCACGCGGTGAACAACCAACAGAGGTTTTGAGGAACCCGAACCTGCTCAACTATCCCAACTATACCTGGACCCTCCAAGGGTGTCCAATGAACTACCTCACACTACCTATAGGCTTCCATTGGGCACCCCTTGGAGGGTCCAGGTAGGGTACCCCCAGTTCGTTCGGGTCCATCGGGTTACTCAGCCGGAAACGCGGTTCGAGCGAGCGAGAGATTGCTCGAACTCGTGGGGTCAGACCCTTCCACCGGAGCTGTGGTTGTTTGGGCGGTCTGACCACCAATTCCGCGACCGGAAAACATGGTTTTGAGAGCAAAAGCAAAGTCCAAATATGTTGAACATCCATAAGCCTGTCATAATGACATGGATTTTTACTTTATGACTCCATAATAATGTTTGATTTGGGGGCAGGACTTCAACCTTTTGAAGGTTCAGCAGTTGAATCAATGGATACAACCCTTGTAGATATACACTTAAATACATATGACGTTGAACTATATACAGGGAACATGGATTGAACACCGTCTCTCCCGGCCATTTGTGATGAACTCTCACGCTGATCAATGAATCTGTCCCTGAACATCCTTCATGGCACCGAGACAGTTCACCACCGTCTTCTGACTTGGACTTTCAGGATCCGAACCATCGAACGAAGGGAAGGTAAGTCGGTGCCATGAAACCGCCATGGCCATGCCACGTAACCATGCTTCCGATCCGAGAGACATCATTTTCCCAATCACATGGGACTGGCACCGATGAAGTCCACCACCTGTTCGGCCGGTCGTGGTGAGTCGCTGGAGTGACGAAGACGAGACTCCTCCCGTCAGGTATTATTTGTCGTCGAGGACTGGACGCCGTTCCTGTGATCATATCATCCGCTACGAACACATGCAAGAGGAGCTGAGCAAAGTCTTGAGTCTTGACAAACTAAGATCTTCGCGGGCAGAGGGCGGATGATTTCTCAACGCCGAAGTCTATAGACTCTAGACGTTTGTTTTGGAGGCCCTTGATACGGCAGTGTTGTTACATGATTTCCGCGGAGACAGATTGGAGAGGCTACATAGGTGAAGCTGCATCGTTCGAGATGGCTGCCACCAAAGCTGGGAAGACCCAGAAGGAGCACTGCTTCTTGTGTGGCCTCCCAGTGCCCCCCCAGTGCAGTGGAATTGACTTTGGTGGAGGACAGGAACTCCATGGATTTCCTAAAGAATTGAGTGTGTCGGACATAATTTGATGATCCTTGGTGCTTTTGATGCAGTGGTGCTGCCAAGATGTGGGCTCTGTTTTTTTCCAGTGACAGGACACCTGCTCTAGCTGTACATGCGAAGTGATGGAAGTTTTTTCCCTGCGCTTTGGAGCCGTTCGTACTTTAGTCGAAAGTGCTTCATGGAGCATGTTTTGCTTCCTTTGGCTTGTTGTGATGGTGAGCGTGTGTGAAGTCCGACCGTTGCCAGGTCGTCAAGTTGTTGGCGTGACGCCGGCGCAATTCGCAGGACACAAATTTGATGTCACCTCCATACAGTGCATATCCTTTTCTCTGCAGAGTCCGCTTTGGATGCAGCACTTATAGCTCTAGGTCTTTCACGCCGACCAGATGCACGCGCACGTAGCAGATCGAGCCCTGTACGAGAGTCTTGATGTTGAAGAAGAGTGTGGAGCGCATAAGTCGGGCTTCTTGGAACTGCTTTTAGTGATGGCCGGTCTTCTTTCATTATCTTCTACTTCCCACCATCTTATTTGGGAAAAGCTTTTGCTTGTTGAAACTCTTCCAGCAGCTGTCGTCTCTGTTAGAGGTCAGAAAGAACAAAATTCAAAAACCAGCATCCTGGACATTGGAAGAGTCGTGCCATGCAGCTGGTGAAACTAAGCGGGCGCACCTCTACGTGCAGTTGACTGTCCAGGGCATAGACCGATCCAGCGTGGTTGGCTTAATGTTTCAAGGCGCGCGGCTGCATGTTGCTCATTGGCTTGCCTAGTAGCCGAAAATTTACTATCTCACCATGAAATATAGAGCGGCCTCTATCTCAGGAACTCAAAGCGTGAAGGCCCTATGCCAACACATGAAGGAACCATGACCATTTCTATGTCTACTGGGAACTTTGTGGCTCTTCACGGATCAGTGGACCTTTGTAGATTGTGAGGTTCATCCACATTGGCTATGGGGTGGCGGCCAGCAACGTGCTTTCCAAGCAGTATTGTGGCGGCTACCTGCTCAGGTGCAACCGTTCGCATCGCGCATTGCTACAGAACATAGACTCTTCAGTCCAAGCAGAGAGAGCGTTGGAATTGGAGGACAACCGTGAGAAAGTGATAGAAGTTCTCTGTTTCCTCATCACACTCGCACTTCTGAAAGCCCGATGGTCCGTTCCTGCTCTATACCAAGAAATAACCCTATCATTCCCGTTGCTACTGGTTAGCTAAAAAGATTTTGTGTTTTGCTTTTAAGCACTGGACAAAGCCAAAGCAAAAAATAGGAAAAGAGCATCATGTTTTGCTCAGTGGTATGAATGTTTCATGATTTCAAATTCGTCACGCCCACTTTCTAGAAATCATGGCTTCCAGACTCGTTTAGCTAACTTTCCGAAAAAGTGGTTTCTTTTTTGCATTGTTTACTGTAAATGAAATCAGTTGTATGAAGACGGCAATGGTCTTCAAGAGTAGATGCGTGTGGTGCATTTGTTTCTGAAGGTTGCAGGGTGCATTCCCATACCTGCAGTTCAAATGCGATGTAGCCCAAACCAACAGAGCCCAGAAATTAATGGAAAAAGTTGACCCCTCTTCGGCGCACGGCTTTTTGTCATGTGAGCAACCGTCAAAATTATTGGAATACAAAATATGTAAGAGGCCGCCTTGTGGTTATAGAAAAGTGAAGAAATCCTTGGCAACTGATAGGGGACGACCCAGCACCAATGCCCCTATACCTACGAAGATTGTTTTGGTTGTTATTGTTTTACGATGGGTGTGAAATGGAATCCAAGGTGCTTTTCAATATGGGAGTTCTGAACCTTAGTGGGTTATGTTGCAAGCGGTGTCACACCATTGTCAAGTGAGTTCGCCGATGAGGTTTCGTTAGTTAATGAACAACATGTTGGTGCTTATGCCGTGGAATGAGGGAGCTCTCACGGACATCTCAACCGATACTAACCGATACCGTGTTTTGCAGATTTACATGCTCTGGTGCCCCTTGTCCCATTTGAAGGGTGACACTATTTTCAGGACCATTGCGGGTGTCCATGCAGATCTCTCATGTTTGTAGCTGCAGTTTTCATTTCTTTGCGTCCACAGGTAGAGTAGTTTCACCTGATTGCAATGTTCCCCTACGGCCCTACGGGAGTACAGTAAGGCGAGCAAGGAAGTACAAGGAGGCATTAGAAGATTCTGCAAACATGTCAAATCACAAGATGATGCAGACATCCGAGGAAATTACCGAGAATATTAGCAGACTACGGCTGAGGAGACTGAGGAGTAAACGCAAGCAACAACATTTGGCCAAGAAAAAGCAAAGCATTTTGAAAGCAGGTCATGGTCAGAGCACCAGCTCGGAATCCAGCTCCTCGAGTTCAATGTCAGATAGCACCAAAGGAGATGCTACTCTGCTGTTTGCTTCCACAAGCCTTTCACAAGGTACTCGCAGGTTCAAGCCCCGAACTGGAAACGCAACCGCGCAGCAATCAAAACGCAACATGGCAAGCCCTTCACAACCGTTGCTTCACAAATGACACCATCAGACGACCCGGTTTGGCATATGGCATATTGCATGAATAGATAATTTTGTTTGCACCTCATGTCATGTTCCGCTGCTTTGAAGCTTGGTGGGGCTTGGTGGGGATTTTGCATCAAATGGCAACTGTAGTCGCAATGTGGTTTCACGAGACACTCGGGTGGAATTTCTGCGGGCAGACGCTGTCTGCAAGGAGCTAAACGAGACATGTGCGAAAAGACGTGGCGTTTTCTTGCCGAGGCTTTGGAGCTTGTGAGACATTTGTGTGAAAAGACGCGTCACTTCTTTCTGGTGCTGAAATGTTCTTTCCTGTGGTTTCTTGGAGCTTAGTGAAACATTTGTTTTAAAAGACAACTTTACTGAACTTCACTAGCTATAGTCGGCTTCTTTCATGTGCTTTGAAGCCTTTTGAAGACTCTGTGTGAAATGACAACCGCAGTTGCAAGTTTCCATCGCTTTGTGATAGCGCGCTTGGAGGCAGTGGTGGGCCCTGTGCTGCATGGAGCTCAGTCGGGCCGGCTTCGTTCCTGTTCTTTGAAGCTCAGTGACACATTTACCACAGTCGAAAGTCGCCTTGTGAGACACTTCTTTGGAATCCCTTGCCAGTGCTCTTTGGTTGTGCCGCACGTGCCTGTTCAGGCTGTGCTGGCCACTGTGCTGCGTGGAGCTCAATGGCTCGGCCTGTGCAAAATTGCATGCTGTGGCGCTTTGTGAGGCTTCTGGCACAGGAGCGTCGGCAAAAGGATTCTTCCATAGAAAGTGAAAGGGTTGGCATTAGTACAGCAGACTCCTGCTTGTAAAGGGATTTGTTTCAGTGCTGCGGAGCTTAGCGAGACTTGTTTTGTATGAGCTGACGGGTTGTTCTTGCTTGTGTGCTGAAGCTTACAGTGGGACACTTGACTGTACTTCCGTTTTCTTTGCTTGCCGGCCCGGCCTGGAGTAATAATAGTATAGTATAGTGAGACATTTTTGTGACATGGGGTGGGCTGTGTCATTTGATCGCGTGCTTCGATTTGGTAGTGGCATGTAGTGGCCAGATGTTTTTTGAGTGGATCTGTTTTGGCCTTTGGATACAAGTTGCTCCTGGTGCGGTCTTTGACATTTTTCTTCCACCAATTCACTGCCGCATCAATGGGGCCTCCGCCGTAGTTATACTATATATATAAATGTATCTCTCTCGCGCGCTCAGTAGTTATATATACATATATGTTTACAAATACTTTCTATTTCAAGTGTTATCTATCTGGCTACAATGTGAGCTTCACCATGTGCGCGGACAGGTTCATCCATGCTTTTCAATCCAGTCCACATGGAGCGCGCGTTTTTTGAGCTAGCCCCACCCATATCTTCAAGAAGAGGGTCGCAGCTCATCACTCCGTGACTCATGTCCGTCTGACTGTGGATTTTCTTTCAGTTTTTCGCCCTACGTCCGTCCGCGGGGCGTTCTTGAAGCGATGCGATCAAGGAAATTCTACGGAGAGGTGGACTTGAAGCGGACGAAGCTTCCAGTGGCTCCGAAATCACTTTTTCGACACCAGAAAGGGGAAGACAAAATCGTCCAGCTTGAGACGCCCTGGCGGACATCCATTGACATCCATTATATAAAGTGATGCACGCGGAAAACCACCCGTGGGGGTATTTATGAAGGAACATGGTCTTTCGAACCCGGGGCCATGCCATCCACGTCTATACTATTAATTCCAGGGAGTGGAAACCCATCCCGACCTTAGTCAAACAATAAGGGCCTTGTAGGGATCCATCCATTCCTTTTGACTTTTGACAGGGGTGGTTTGAATTTTCAGGTTTATAAGATTCTGCTAGGCAGTGGTTGAAATTACTGGACATGGAATGTGCGGGCCTTTTGACAGGGGAGTGTTTGAAGGAACACCTCACTTCACAGGTCGCCAGACCATCTCGGGGTTCAACCAACAACCCTCTATATGGGCGTTTTTCAATGTCAGCTATACATGACCAAGCCTCAAATGTTTTGGTTCCTTGATTGATGGCTGCCATGTCTCGGAATGCCGTCGATCCAGTTCAGCAGTGACAAGCGAATTCGGTGCATTTTGAAACGGGTCGTTGAGACATCCTGAAAGGCTGAAGTTCTGAAAGGGTTTCCTGTTTGTTTCCCAAATCTAATTTTTTCATATTTTTCCTCACACAGTAGCAGTGGAACAACAACCTGAACCCTGGAATTCGACGGCCTTCAATAGCACTCTATATGAGGACTATACATTATTAGTGGCTCCACCTCCATTTTGGGATGCGTTCTTGCACAAGACAATTTGGCAGCATGTCATGAGACACACTCTCTCCCCAACAATGGTCGGAGCAGAAAGTAACCATGTTTATTGAAGACGGCTGTATATATAGACATTCCAGGATGTCCTGCTGCACGATCTACTTCATCCATTTCCTATCACTTCTTCAAATTTATATCATCACGAGCAACACCCTAGGCTAACTACCTTTTGAGGAGGTAATTGGGGTTGGAATCGTTGGAATGTTTGACGGTCTGAGTCTAATTGCCTTTAGGAGGAAGTCGTTGCAACTACCCCCTCCAGCTTCCCAACTTCCCAACCAACCTTCATCTCGACAACCCCGAAGAGAACACAAACGGCCACATGTTACATTCTGTGGGTCGCGAGTCGCTGCGACGGCCACCAGGCGGGGGTCAACTCCGTGCGCGGCCGCTGCAAGATGGAGAACCTCTCCGTGTCTGAGCATTTGCAGCAACGTTTGCGAGCCGCTCGGAGCCAAGGGTCCGGGGTGATGGGGCGAGCACCGGTGAAGAGAGGATGGTATAAGATGGCACTCCGCATGTATAGGGAATCAATAGGTCACAAGCTGGAAGAACCAGGTATATTGAATATTACTAAATTTGTCGGTTTACCTGGGTGACTTGCGCAGAGTATCAGAATTGGTTTCGTTCCCTGTCTATGACTCACTTTTCGGGGTAGTTTCAAGGATTGACATTGGCCCAACCGACTATTGTACATTTTTGGTACAAGAGCGCTGGCCGGGAGTCCATTTTCGTGGGTGACTTGTTTTCCTGGAGCACATATATTTAAACAATACCCAAGGCATCCCAAGGCCATACAGAATTGCATACAATATCACGTGATAAAGCATCCTTCCCCAAAACATCCCAAAAACCGGAACTCCAAAACTCAACCTTTCGCTTTGTTCAACTCCTTTCCACCAAAGCGATCTGAACCACCGGACGGCGTTTTCCGATGGAGTTTCTAAAGGTGCTCGCTTCGATCTGAGGACTTCTTCCACTTAGACTATCAGTGGGGCTTAGGCAGCTGAGCCCAAAAGCCAAGTGAAGTGTTTTTTGATCATGGACCTCTTCTCCAAGCTGCCAAGTTTGGGCGCCATGTCCTCCAAACCATCCCGTTGGAGGTAGACGTTTCTGGCAGACGCGCAAAACATCGAGCAGAACTTCTAGGGGGTTGGATAGGGGTTTGGAGAGGGTGAGGATCCGATCACAGCGGATTGTAGTTTCCATTGAGTCCAGATTTAAACATTAGAACCAGATTTGGCTTCCCAGGCGCTCCAAACAGCCTGACTGCCCCCTCAAAACCTCGGGATTGGTTCGACCCCAGACCCCTGACCCGAGGATTCGGGTCCAGGGTCGCGTTTGGGTTGATTTAAATCATTGACTTCACTCCCTGGGGATTCTGGGGATCCAGTCGTACCTTCTCAGTAACGGTGATTGGACACACTTACCGTGGTAGGTGCCAGGAGGGTCCAGTCGTACCGAACCTGAGGTTCGGTACGACTGGGATCCCTAAGGGCACTAGGTGGCAAGGAGCGACGGAGCTTCCCATCACCCACTCACTTTGATTGTTTTTTTAAGTAAACCTGGTTTTGCGGATCAGGTGGGTTGTTCTAATCTTCCCGAACTGGTCATATCCGAAGACTGGTGAATAGATGTTAGATGTTTCCAGTTTACTTAAGCAAATCCCAGATCAGAATCATATGTCACCCTCCAGAGAGAGGGGTCATGGTGGCCGTTGCCGGTCGATTCCGAACACCCCAGAAGAAGCGAGGAGCCTCACAGTGGTCTGTCACATGGCAAGACCCCGCCCATGTCAGAGACAGACCCTACACCTCCCAGTACCTCCTCAGAAGGTATGACTGAACCCTTTTGGCACCCACCCCAGTCCCACGGAGGTACGACTGGAGGCCTAGGGACAGGGAGAAACAATTCTGTGGTTCAGAAACATGATTCTGCCATACTCTGAAAGCCCTTTAGCTGCAGTTTTACCTTTCCGAAATGCAGCCATGTTGGTTCAATGCGACTCTTGGTAGAGAAATCATGCGTGCCCTGAAAGCTTCTCAATGGCTCAAGTGGAAGCGTCGCGGGACTTCATAGCACTCACCACTGATGCAAAGCATGCTGGTTTGGTTTGGCAGTGCCTCCAGCAAAAAAGAGGTCAAACAGGACAACCAACAGAGTCCTTAGCTTAGGGACCCGGAAGAAACAACAAAACCCTTAATTAGTTGTAAAGACATGGTTCGGCTATGTTCCGATGGGGTGCTTTGCCCTGGCGCTTTGCCAGCCGCGGCCAAAGACTCTGTGAGGGTTCTGGCTGCGTATGACGTATGTCTCCAGGTTCATGCAAGGCCTTCCGGGCCGACGGGAGGAACGGTGGAAAGCCTCGTGGTGTCTCACGAACGTTGGGAACTTTTCTTCAGTTGTTTTACTGCTGTGCTTTCAGACCTTTCGAACCATGAAAAACATGTTTGTTGGAAAGAAATAAGACGGAGTCACAGGTCGGAGCGGTCACAGGTCGGTACTATCTGAGTGGATGTGTTCTCAGGGCACCTCCTTCACCTCCTTCGGTTCGTCTCAGCCAACTCCATGTCGACTCCTCAAGGTGTTCATCACCGGACTCGTTACCCTGATAGCAACCAGCACCCCTCCACTCGTTGGAACCTCTGGTTGATGGAAATCATGACCCACTGGTTTCTTTGTTTTTCTGCTTGGGTTGGCCTGTTGGAGCGTTTGGATGGAGCTGCTTGCAGCGGGTTCTCATGTTCCATGCGGTAATTCCACCGACGGAACCGTTGGGTCTGGCACTCCATATCCCAAAGACTTCACCGAAAAAATGCCCACATTGACCCCTGAATACCATCCAAAGGGATAAGGCCCTCTAGAGCGCCGGAATTGGCTGGGGAGTAGGTTCCCTGACGAGTTGCAGGCGCAGCTCTGTTGCTGGTGACTGCTGTCATTGGTGGCACGTTGTTGTCTGAGCTTATTCCGGCCTCCTGGCAAGGCAAGTTAGCGAGGGATTTTGGACATACCCCTCTCAAATACCAAAAGCTGAAAAGCACAAGGGATTTCAGCCAAGGGTTCTGAGGTAAGGTATGGTGAGTGAGAGTGAGTGATACACGGTCTGATCAGTACATGGGGTCAACTGGGAACCACCCTCACATGACTCCTGAACAGTCAGTTGACCTACGTAGGGCTCCAAGTACCTCCTCAGAAGGTACTTGGAGCTCTATGGAATGATAAACAATGATCATGGAATCATGTATAATTTTATTCTAGTTTTGTTCACTGTACTATATGACTATATAATATAACTATATATATATATGCTATGCTATTTTTTGGGGGGGTTGTGTTCTTTGGGAAGGACCTCCGAGAGCGAACGACCGATCCTTTGCTTCGGCTCGGCTGGGCTCGGGCGATTCTTCGTGATCAGATCAGGGCGTTTGCCGTGGTGAAATCACCACCCCTGGAGAAACCCAGATTCATCCTAGAGATTGGGGCCATGTTCCACTGGAAAGACTCCTGAGAGTGTAACACCCACCGCCGCCGCCGCTTTTTTTCCCCAGGGTATAGGGGGGCGGAAAAGCTTCTTCAGTTCAACCGCTGCAGTTTTTGATATGAAACGCGGCCAGTGAAATTCGGACATAGCGGCCGCGGCCCAAATAGAACCCGTTCTTTGTGGAAAGTGGAGCCGAAGATGCTAACTACAGAGAGAGAGAGAGAGAGAAGGACAACATTGGGCTTTGAAGATTGTAAGGCTTAGCGGCTTGATGCATGTGTTGATTTCTTTGACCCCGTTTGGCAAAACGGGCCCCCAGATCCAAGGTCTATTCGCACCACATTCGTCAGAGGATCGTCGTGAATACCACATCGACCAGCCTGATGCGGCCATCCTCGCCGCCGTCGCCGAAACAGCCGTGGTCGCCGCAGCTGCCCATCATGGTGGGAAGGACCCTCGGTCCAGGCTCCTTTTTGAACCTGCCGGGGGTGGAGCTGGCGGAGCAGAAGCAGAAACCAAGCTGTCAAAGTGTGTGCTGTTTTGTTTGTTTCTATTGCGATGTATTCTGCTGGTGTTTGGTGTTCCTTCTGGTTTTAATTGAGAAAACAATATTCTGAGCAGGATGTTTTGAATGGTTTCGGGACATCCCTCGACCATTCATTGATTATATAATATATATATATGGGTTAAGATACATCCCTTAGGTTTGTCCGAACTTACCCGTAATAAAGCTGGACAAGGTTTCACAAGAACGTCACTCTTTTTGACGTGGAAAGGCCTTTCAACATCCGGCCCCATCATCATCCAAAACGGGCCCTGGTATTACAGTAGGATAGACCCAAGGGTTAACCACTCGTCCCAGAAAATGACACTGCCAGGCTTGTTGGTTTCTATGTGTTCTTTACTATCGAGGATACAGCTCCTAAGTAGGGAGTACAGACCTCCGCACCGTCGCTTGGACGGAACAACGAGCTGTGCTTGGAGTGTGTGTTTTTTCCTCGCCCGTTTTTTCTCAGCAAGGACTCGTTGTTTGAAGTTCATTCACATCCCGAAGACGGCCGGCTCGTCCATTGACCAATTGAGCTTCCAATTGAAGCTCAACTGGGGCCCTCATGACCGCTCATTGCCTCATGGCCGGAGTTCCAGGGTGCGGACGATCAGGGTTCGAGGGTTCAGTCCGTTCGACCATTTGATTGCCTCATGGTTGATCTGGTTTTGTAGTGATAGTGCAAAATCTTAGTAAAACACTGGTTGTTCTGGTCCAAAGGCTATTGGATATAAATGGTGGTTCGACTTCTAGCGTATGATTACAGCCCGGACCAGGTGCAGACGGCCAAACAGGCATGGGTCACTCATCGACGGATCGTGTTCAGACTCGTGTGCAGACATTGATTAGGGATGGCTTCGACCAATCACAAACGTAGGGGTTGACTCGTTGGTTGGGCTTATCAACAGTAGGATGTTGATGGGACAGGAAAACAAACAGTAGGATGTTGATGGGATTGGAGTCAACATGAAGAAAACACATCTCACAAACAAGCCAGACTCTTTGAGGGGGTGTTGCTGCGTGCAAGCCCCTACAAAAATCCAGATCCTGGAGGTTTGAGCCCGGGTCCAAACCCTTTTTGGTTAACCTCCTCGAGTGGTCCAGTAAAATGAGGCCAGTTTCCTGACCTGCGGGGGAGTGCATGTCTTTTGGCACCAATTTGGAGTAGAACATTTCAGTCACACTGCCTGTCCGACGCACCGGGGCGCCTTCTTCTTCTTGCCGGGTGCCTTCTCCGAGGCATTGCACAAACATGTCCATGTGCCGGCAAACCACTCCGATTCTACGGCGCTGTTGCTGGCACAAGAGCACGGCATGCAGTGTTTGGCACGATCCACCCAGTGTCCAGGCGTTCATTTGAGCTTCCCCCCCCTGCAGACCGACACATGATAATAGACCCTTAAGTAAGACAATTCTCGTCCACCATCCAGTCGTTTTCAGGGTGCAGGCTTGTGTGGTTCGGCCGGTGTTTTTCTGTTCTTTGATGTGAAGATAGGCCCTCCAAAAAACATCCGTGGTGGTGAATGGACATCCCTTAACTAACCGTTTTTCATCGTTGTTCAGAGCTAATGGATCTAATAGACACCCCATGGCTGCGCGCTGGTAGATTTTAGAGTCTTGGAGATTCATGCCATGTCCTACCTACTCGTAGAACCCATTTCACCATATTTGACCTTCTTCTTTTATAGGACAAGACCATGTTTATAGGACAAGACCATGTTTGGGCTCCAAACCAGGGGTCACAGGCTCTAGTTTTAAGAACATTTATATCTATATATATATATATGCTCCAGGTTTTTTGGAAGGCCGAGTGAAAGGCGATTCCGACGCGAGATCCGGGGTGAAAGAGATCAGCGGTCCATTCTTGGGTCAACCATGTCAACGAGGTGTTTGACTCGTCTTTTGGGTGGTGTTTATTCATCAAGAGTCGACATTTAGGGCGTTGACCGTATTTAGGGCGTTGAATAACATATGATTTCTATTTTGTGAGACAGGTCTGCAACCTAATCATCATCCACTGAAAGCTGGTAATGGTATATATATAATACATATATATATATATACTCAAGATCTACCGTGCTTTCTGCTCTTGACATGTTAAAGAGTTCCAACCAGTTTTGTCCAATCCTACAAAACTCGATGGGGCCCAGGCCTGGATAAGAGTTTGCGTAAGAGAAACTTTGAAACACGAAGGCATTGATGAGCAACTGGCGCAAGTCTATGCCAACTGCTCCACTTTTTGCGTGGTCCGTGATCCAATCATGCGCTTCATGAGCGAGTACTTTTACATGTCCAAGCACAAGCGTATTCAAGGACGTCAGATGTGCCGCAGATGTCGGATGTTCGACTAATTCACCCGCTTCCTATAAAGAACTTCCAAGCACAAATCCTTGGAGTGTGAGCCCCCACCCTTGTCTTCTTCGTCTCCGTATCAACCCCTTGGATCTTCCAGAGAGCTAGCAAAGATGTGAAGGAGCAACATAGACCGGGGCGACACGCCTCCGACACATGCCGGAACTCTTTCAAGAAGCCCAGCTACACACCCAGCAAATTCTGCCAAGCTTGTGTCAAATGATATGACAGTGAGTGAAGACCCAATCCCCAATGGGCAGGGATCCCAAATCACACATCACACATCCTCAGACTTGCAGTTGTTTGATTATTTCAAAGGCCGCATATAGTTTTATTATATATATATATTATATATATATGTGTGTGTGACTGTATCACTACATGTAAATGAAGTGTTTTTTGAATTTGATATGTTGTATACTTTCCTGACCCCGCCCCGGAGAAGCAATATGCAGAGCCTGATTATAGACAGCGCATTTGTTCATCGCAGCTAAATTTCCATCCATTTTGTCAAGCTGTAGATTTCAATAGTTCAAGCATGCCCTAGGGATCCAAGTACGTCCTCAGAAGGTACTTGGACCCTCCAAACCTACATAAACAGTCTCCAATCACCTTCTGAGAAGGTACTTGGATCCCTAGGGATGTTAAAGCCATAGACTTTGAAACGACTATATCGTTCATGTTTGGCTGGGTGCTTGTTAGCTTTCATCACCTTCACAAGAAAGCTGACCTGTCAACCTGTCCAGGAGATTGGTGCGATCCAGTGAAATTTGAGGAGTATGCAAATGAGACCATGTAGCTTGGGACCATGTAGTTGATGGGGTGCGGCCGCTCAGATTCCACCTTTGCTGATGCATCGCCACCACCGTGAGTGTAAGAGTTAGTATCCCAGACATATATATATATATATATGAAATATGAAAGGCATTGAATGTACATTGACCGTACATTGACCACTTATCAACCACCCCAACTGATCAGCAAATATATATTCCCCTACAAGACCAAAGATCCAGTAAAACCGGGTCTTTACCTCCTTAAAAGTCGTGTTTCTGTCTGACCAGGGGTGCAGGGGTACAGGTCCAATCAAACTGACCTGTAGGGTTCCAGTGTCATCGGTATGAGAATCTCCCGCCCCCGCCCCCGGAGATTCTCACCCCGTCTCGGTCCCTTTGAACCACCCCAGCTCCATGTACGGAAGAACAAGGCGACTCGCAAAGTGCTTCAACGGTTCAACCTATGGCATCTACGGCATGCAAAAGAAGGTATATCAATGACATGAACCCAACACAACTGGATACTGGATGGTAACAACTTAAGTGATCATTTAGTGGTCACAACTAACGGTATCTTCCACACCTTTGAGGCCCGGTCGTCGGGTCCGGAACACGCCCGTCCCGGTCGTCCGTGTAGCTCATGACTCCGGACTGGAAGAGTTACTTAGATTGGGGTCATGTGTCGTGGGGTAAATCTGTGGACCTAGGAATAGGTCTCATGGATGATCTGGGTACCGCCAGTGACGATCTTGCGCATCCGTGGGTTTGGTCGTAGCAACCGAATAGTTGCCAGGCTGGGAGACCTGGTCGCCCCACAACATCCTCCCCTGAGTGAAGGCGCAGAAAACCGAGGAAATCACCCAGACACCATGGGACTGCCATGGACTGCCATATATGCCGATCAGTTGGGGTGGTTTTGGGGGTCTACGCCGCGAGGCAACGTGCTTTGGAAGATCCCTTCATTGATGATTGCCACCTTGTGCCACAAGCGCCGCTCGGCCGAGCGGCGTGCCAAAAAAAGCGGGCATGTTCCTGACGGGTTTGGGGCCGCTGTAACTGGAAACGCCGATAGATTGCACATTATATGCCTACAGCCTAGAGCCTGAGTCACCTCCAATTTTGGATCACCAAGCACCCAACGTTATGGTCAAGCTGCCTAGCAAGCCATAAAGCATGTTTGGGCCCATTATATAACTACGCATCATAGATACAAGGTGAAGAAGACTTCCATGGACCCTGAATACCACTGGTTTGTAGTTTGTACAGGAAAACAGTTTTTCAGGGTGCCATGCTCACGGTCCTACTTTTCGGGAGTGTAATTGAGACATCAAACTTACACAGAGAGAGAGAGAGAGAGTGAAAGTTTGGTTTCTCAGATGCTTCCGAGAAAGCAGCTTCCTGGACTTCAGCTCCTGACTAGCGTGGTCTGACCACAAACAACAGAGCAACTTGGGATAATGGCCAAAAACAGCCTTGCAATTAACTTTTTGGTGAGCTTTCTTCAAGTGCCCTTTCTAGTTTGAAGATTTTGAAGTTTGATGGATGTCCTTTCCAAGATTCAACAGCTACACAAGTGGTGTGTTTAGGCATTTGGACAGGTGGACACTTCTAACTTCTTTGTTTGCAGACTTGACTCCGTTGAAGGCTGCCTGTGTTGAAACTTCAGCATGCAAAACAATGTGAGGCTAGTTTGGGGAGTCCGTCCGTTTCTTAAAACGAGCATGGGAGTGTTTAATTGAAGTTCACCGAGCCCCAAACTGAAACACAGCTCGGTCCTGCGAAGGCAGCGTGGTGTTGGGACAATACCGGCCTACCGCAGGCCCCGTTCGCAACCAAAGGCGTTGAGTCGGGTGTTCGCCAGATCTGGAGGTGTTTTGGGGGAGTCTTTTCTATACTCCCTATAGGAATCCAGTCGTACCGAACCTCAGGTACCGGTGATGCGTGGAGCCTCACGTAACAACGACTGGCGCCGGGAGGCTCTACCTTCGTACCTTCTGGGGACATGTGGCCCTTTTTCTGCTGAGGTTCTACTTGGTCTCTTTGGATGGCCACCGCTTGTGTGATCACATCCTCCGCTACGAGCACTTACAGAGCGAGCTGCCTCAACTGCTGCACCTGGGCCGGAAACTACGAAGGGCACAAAGAGAAATCCCGCTGAGGAGGGCACCCCGATAGTAGGAAAAGGATGGAAAAGGGTTCTTGAGCACCCTTTTCGCTATTATAGGTTGGATGGAGGCCATCGCTAGTAGGTTGGAGGCCATGACTACTAGTAACAAGAAGCTACTAGTAACAAAGGCTTCTTGGTTGGAGCTATGACAAGAGTTTCAAAGGAAGTGGCTTTTGGCTAGCTGCGAGGAAGTAAGCTAGCTACGTGCCTGGTTGGTTGAGTTGTATCCATGATTACAATTACCAGCATCGTCAAGGCGAGCTTTAAACTCTTCGTCCTGGACCCTACGCCTGGACGAATCCAAGGGTCGAGTCAGATCTTTCTTGTTTATAACTTACGTCATTCTCATCGCATCTCCGTTCCTGAAAACTGTGCTTTTGCCATGTGCCTTTTTTTTGGTAATAACATATCAGGCCGCGATAAGGCTTATAGTAAACTGTAAACCGTAAACCCAATGTTTACTGATGTTCGATCTTTTTTCCACGTCGAGCAGTCGCGATCGCGACCGTCGGCTGCTAGCCGGTCCAATCGCTTCGAAGCGACCTGACGGGGATTGAGGGACGAGCCGGCGAGCCCGAGGGCTCTTGTGGTGACGTGTTACATCGTGGGGTACTGGCAAGGTCCGGTCCTACTAGGACCCACCTTTCGGGGTGGTGAAATTGGACACTCCTTAAACCTCTAAGTTAGGGCTATCAATAGACACCCCTTGGCTTGGCCTGCAAAGACGACCATTGAAATCCTGTCAAGTAGAGGACTTGATTCAGCAAGGTCATCGCTTTTGAGGGGGGCCGCCTATCGCTTTTGCTGGTTTTATCCCAATTCCTGAAGTTCACGACTGCTCTTTGCTAAATTAGCAATTTTTTGGTGGTTGTTCATATAACTATTCCAGTCTCTATACATGGTCAGGGACAACACAACTACCGTCAACTTCTATAAAATTTCAACAACCATTGATTTCATAGGCTAGTACCACACAACCATTGTTTTACTAAGACTGCATGTCACCAAATCAACAATTCGTTTAACTCCTACGGATGATTTGGGCACATGCACCTCAACCCCATGGACGGCAACTGGCACGCGTAACGGTGCGCGTTTTCTCCCCGCCAGTTGGGCGCCTGATTGAGGAAGTGGTATCACAACCTGAACGAGTCAAAAACTCGACTTCAAGTCGCTCAGATGTCGAACTGGCCCTTTGTGCGGAAGGGTTTTTACCTTGCAACTGCTCTCCTTTGGAGGCTTTTGTAGACTTAAAAGTCGCAGGTGGTGACCTATTGGAAGGTCCTGGTATATGGGATGTTGTATATATTTTTGATCTTTGCAGCAATTGATTGGACTCCTGACTTGAAGATTTGCTCAATCTGTGAGTTGACTCCTGTAATTGGATAGCAGATGCAGAGGATTTGCTCAAGTGCAGACAACCACCAACGTCACCTCAGTGGGAGGATTTCCCTCTCAAGCCTGAACCAGCCACTCTCAGGAAAGCTGTCGTCCTATCATGTTTGTGTTTCTTTTATGTTGTTGTATATGTTGTGTTTTTTTTTGTTTGCCGGATTCTTAACCCTTTATTTAGACCTTTCAGGCAATGAGAAGTCCTATAAGTAGTGTTTTGGGGGTTCGGGGTGGGGCCACATGAATGCGGGTTAGCTGTCATGGCCCAAGATGTCCATGTCCAAGGTCCAGCAGCAAGAAGATGATTTTCATGAATCAACACGTTTGGATGAGTTGGCTTCCCTTTTCCAGCCACAATCAGATCCACCTTCCTTAGTTGAGCATTTTTTTGGCAAACCCACCAGCTGCCAGCGCCGGCCTCCCACTTTGCATACTGCACCACGTGCTCAGATGGTGAACCAAGCTGCACGACGGTGCAATGTGCCCTTCTCGCCAGAGCTGCGGCAGCGCCTACGAGCCACTCAGTGTGAGAGGACGTGGTGTTCTGTGGCGCTGTGGGCTACCTGCGAGGTCTTCTGGATGTACAATACCCGTAGCAACAGAGGTTAAGTGACCTTATAGGACCCTACTGGGGCACCCATGGGATAGTCTATAGTCTATAGATGTCTATAGGGTTCTTCAACCTGTTCTGTATAGCTACCTCAGTATTAGGGCCCCCGAATGCGGGGTATCAACGGCCACTGGCCCAGGCCGGCATTGCAAGGATTCCACAGCCAGGTTCCCCTGATTCCTTTGGAGATCGGTCGGCCTTTTCGATGTCACCCCCTGACACTCCATGGGACTGGAATAGGACTGCCGCCCCAGACAGACCCCTTAGGTCCACCACCCCTGGCCGTGCCACTCGGCAGTCCGGCATGGCAGTCCCAGACGGGTCGCGTTTGGGACTGGACACCGGTCTGAGGACTTCTTCCAAGTGGACTACGAACTGGGCTTAGGAACTTGATAACGGGCTTCGTTGCATCGCGCCATGCGAGGTCTGGGCGACGTGTTGGGGGCGCGGTTTGAGGTGCAGAGGTCAGACCTTTCGACCGAGGTCTTTGGATGTGTTTGTTTTGCGAGTTTTTTGATTGGTTCAGAATGCACTTCTAGGAACACGAACCATTGGAAAGTTCAACAGAAACAATTGGAAAGTTTAAAAGCGATGTCGATCTGTGGATTTTGTGTGCAAGATTTGTGGGCGTTGCTCACTGAGGAGACATATGGGGATCCCATCGGAGGTTGTCGCTTAGACTTAGGGGTCTTTGTTGGTTTGCATGTTTTTTCTGCAGGGGGTGGAGTTGGAATAAGTTGAGCGTTGAAGTTGCATATGAGTCTTTGGCATGGGATCTGTCAGGAATACATGACGCTTGAAGACAACCTGTTGTCGACTGGCAGCTAGTGGCAGGGCTCCGCGTTTTCTACTGCCCACCGTCAGTCGGACCATGCTGGAATCATCATGGAGAAAAACCACCGGTTTGTCCATGATACCCAGACGCTCCATGTATGGAATATATGCCTACATTGGAGTGGTTTGGGTGGTCAATGTAGCCATATATGGCATACATGGAGTGTCCATGATACTACCAGAGAGTGCAGTGTACCTCACCCTCTTCACCAGATCGTTTCTCAGTCAGATTTTTCCATTGGTGCGGCTTAGGTAGCCACAAGGTACAACAATGATTGACAGTCCGAAGCATTTTGTCTTGACATGTCTGGGGCAAAACATGTGGCCCCACAACGAGGTGGAATGTTCGTGCATATTTATACCTCTGTAGATAGAAGCTTCCACATTCTCAGTTGATCTAAGACAGTAAATCATGTCCAGGCGGTCGCCCACAGCACAAAAGGACTCGCTACCGGGGTAATTTCGACAGGCATGTGGACGTGCAGCAGGCAATCCTTCCAGTGTCTTGTCCTGCCAGACGGGCTTAGTATGGCTTAGTCACGTCCTATGAACTGGTGGTATATTGATCACTGTCACCGGTGGTTGGATGTGGTTGGTATAGATTTCCAAAAAAGAAAAAGGAACTACGAACGTGTAACTCTTCCGGACACTGTTCGAATTTGGTGCCATTGTCGGGTTCCAGTCGTACCGAACCTGAGAAGGACTGAATCTCTATATAGGGATAGATATGCTTTTCAAGGGTCATTCTCATCGCCCCGGTCGCCTTGATTCGCTCCGCTCCTACGCTCGCCGCCCACCTCTCGAGTGGAGAGGCCGCCTTGGAGTCCTGTTTTGACTGGGGTGATTCACACGAGGCATTTTTCAAAGGTTGAAAATATGGTGGACCCCTTCATCTCACCAGGGTTGCATCATTTGAAGGGCCGATGTTGCCTCCCAACCAGTGGCAGCCCGAACTTGCAGCAGCCAGAAGTTTTGCAATAATCATTCTTGCGCAGTCTTACAAAACCTCTATACAATCTATAGTGGTCTCCACCTCCGTATTTGGATGCGTTCTTGCAGCATGAGAAAGGAATCTGGTGAATCTGGCAGTGCCTCAGAAGCACCACACATACTGTTTCTGTCAGTCCAAGAAGTCAACAATCCCTAGGAAGGTGATTGGCCACCACGGCTTCGGTGCCAGTCGGCTTCGGTGCCACGGCACCGGCCACCCTTCGGTGACGAAAACGGGTACCCGACTCACGAAGCACCGGGAACCAGGATAGCCTTACTGAAAGGCCATGAACAACATTGCATTTGGTGGTCTTGTGGTCTAAGCTCCTTACTAATGGTTGTTGGGTCACCCTTTTTTTCGGTCCATGGTTGTTGGATGTTGTTGAGATCGCAGGTCAAATGTGCAATTCCTTTCACAAAGGGAGCCGTTTTCATCCCAGGGGGACTCCAGCTTCCCACCGGAGTTCAACTCTACACGGCAGAACAGAATAGACGACCTGGTTTCGGTCCATGGTCAACCTACCCTGCAAACTGGGGCTCCGGTTTGGACCTGCAGCCACATGGCAGATTTCAGTCCCGCGACCTGTTTGGGACTGCCTGCCAGGACTGCCGCCCCAGAAAGACCCGAAAGGTCCACCACGCCTGGCCGTGCCACTCGGCAGTCCGACATGGCAGTCGCAAATGGCTCGTCGTGTTTGGGTCTTAGGCTGGTGAACTGTGTGCCCGACCGCCGCTGACCGGAGTAGCGAGCCGAAGCGAATCCCGGGACCGGAACGGCGAGGGACTGGGGCGAGGAGGAGGGTATTTCGCAAGAGCGACCAGGGCTCCAAGTACATCCTGAAAGGGGTGAGACTGGGGTGCATTGGAGGGGTGTAAACATGTCTAAACACCTTGCGAGGTACGAAAGGAGCGCTAGGGATATATCAAATCACTATCAAGTCGTTTTTGGTTGTTAAGACACTATACAGTCTAGTTCATAAATTACGAAGCAGTGTGAATTGACGCTAGAGGCCGCTGGCGGGCTAATTATTCGTGGTTACGGATGTACATGAATGGTTCCACTCGCACTCTCTAATAGTGTGTGGGTTGTCGCAGTCTTAGAGCAGTGAGTCACTGACAGCAGTTCAGATATTGTCTCAATCTCAGAAGTGTGCATTTGACCAGATTTTGTCTCAAACGCATTGCCAATGATCATGGTGTCATCCTGGAGCCTGTTGATGTACCCGCATTTGGTTGTCCATCATGGATACCCATCCTCAATCTAAGCACTCCACTCCCCAGTGAGGAGCCACCGCTTCAGGACTTCCAAGCTCAGCTGGCGCTGCTGCGATCAGCGCCACGAGCCAACTCCCATCTCGCCGCCAAGCCTCGTCCAAGCTAAGATGAGAGGGGCACGTTGCCGTCTACAAGTGCGGGATCAAAAATCCGGCTGACAGTGTGAGTCCTTCCTGAATCGTTTGGAACTGTGTGAGGACAGACAGATAAGAAAAGCGCAGGTAAATGATATATTCCTAGGGCTCCAGTCGTACCTCCTCAGGTATGACTGGACCCTCCTGGCACCTATCCCAAAGACAGAAATATCTATGCATATATATGTTCATTGAGTCCGGATATGTCCGGATTCTCGCCCAAGAAGAGAGTCTCGTGGTATTTGATCCAGGTATCAGCACCACCAGTTCCAGTTCGGAATGTTATTTATATAGTCCAGTGGACCAGCTGGGCACGGTAGACCTTCCAATAATAGGCACCCCTTGGAACTTCTTCGTGTGGCCAAGCTATTGGCCAGCTATGCCTGGTCAGAGGTGTTCAATGTTGATTCCCTTTTCGAAGCATTAAACCTGTATGATGGAATCAGTGGACAGCGCCCAGCGCAGTTGACAGCTTCTCTCGGAAGTCACGACGTCCTTCGTTCGGTGGCCCAGCAAGCAGCGGTTCCTTCGTGGGACCCTGAGATCCACTGATGATGTGGGGCAGCGGCTTGGCCAACCGGTGAGACAGTCTTTGCCCGGATTCCTGGGCTTACCGTGCATGGTTTCATCCCATGAACCATAATTTCACTAAGAAGGTTAGACTACAAACCCGGGTCAGCCTTTCATTTGAATGGTTTTGGGACGGTCATGGAAGGCAATGGTTTTGGGTCCGAGCGCAGCTGCAAGCTCGACGACGACGCGTGATGTAGACGGTGCGACGTGGAGTCGAGTTTGGCCTGTCGATCCACCGAAAGTTTGGCCTCAATATTCCTAGGGATCCAAGGACCTCCTCAGAAGGTATGACTGGAGCCCTAGGGTATATCATTATATGAGCTTCTTCATCATGATGGCCTCAAACCTAATAGCGATACCCTGAGGATTCTTTTTGGGCAGGATCCATATGACCTACATGAACACCACCAGTGCAGCCAGCAGTCATGTTGGCAGGACTGCTGCCGGATGGATCGTTTGGGAGTCATCTGACCTCCAACCTGATTGATGGCCTCGAACCTACCTGGACCTTCAAGGCTTCCATGGGTGACCCCTTTGAAGGTGCTGGTATGAGCTTCTTCAATCAATTCCTGCCGTCATACGGTTCTCCCCGACGATGCACTTCGAGACATCCCCCCCCAAAAGAAGCAAATACGGAGCCTGGCGCTCTACTTTTCGCCCTGTCCATAGTAGCACAGCTCCCTAGAAAGCCCGCTGAAGAATCGTACTGTTGGTCCATTGAAGAATTTGAGGGATCTGATCAATCTGATCTGACCATCCGGAAGTAGTAAGGGTTGCTTCCAGTGCTTCAAATGCTTGGGTGGACCTCTGGACGGAGGTCGCGCGAAAACGCGCGCGACCGCCTTTGCTTCGTGGCTCAAAGCGAAACAGGCCACAAGGATCGGAAACCGCGAAGAAACGCTGTGCGTTCCCTATTTCGGGCCAACCACTTCAGCACAGTGTTTGGCGAGCGGAACCTTTCAACATCCTTCAACTGTTGACTGAAGACATCTGAAGACGTGGTTCCTACTTGGCCACGCCTTGTATAGCTCCATTCGCTGGCCGGCGGCCAGAGGGCCCATGGCAAACGACTCCCAGTAGAAGCATTTGATGATTGTGATCAGATTCATGCAAGGCCTCGCTTGGGAGAAACCGTGGAAGGCCTCGTGGTCCCGCTTGTTGAAGGGAACATACAACAGATTTGTGTTGCTTGCCTTTTAGTTAGACATTGTCAGAACCTGTTGGTTATATAATTATGGATGTTTGGGGAAAGCTTTGGGAAGTGCGTGAGCATGGACTGCGCTTGGCTTCCCCAACACTCCAACGACCCAGCGTTGTGGAGTTCCCGGCCATAAGTTTCGAGATGCGTAGGTATACGCATGCAGCCTGAAACATGTAACCAGGAAGATTTCGCAACCAGCAGTCACAAGACGGGGTGCTAAACTTGAAGGATGGGGGTGCCCATGATCCACTCACTGGATGGGCCGAGCCAAGCCACCCCGTACTTGTGACTGGACAATGAGCCACCAATTCCACCTCACATATGCGCCGGCGGGCAGTTACCTACTTTGGATGCCTCGCTTTTTCAGACACCTCTCGTCAACAAAAGGCCTTCGGGCCGGTCGGGCCAGTGGGCCAGATTTCTGTTGGGCAAAAGCCTGTTCCCTGTCATAGACGTTCCTAGAATTGATTTGACCTCCATTTTGAGAGGAAAAGGCCCTAGATGTTGGATAGATCCTTGAAAATCAGGGTCACTTTGTTTCCCTAGGTTTGTCGACCAGGAAAATACTTAGGAGCATCAACTGGTCGTTTGCGCACTTGGCAGCTTCCAAGCTCAACTGCTCAGGCACAGCTCTAGTATTCATCGCTGCAGCCATTGGCTGTGCGTTGCTAGCTGAGCTCAATTCAGTCTCCTGGCTGAGAAGGGATTGACATCCTGGTTTTGCTGATCAGGTGATTTTGGTCTTCCCTATCCCAGATACTCCATGTATGCCATACATTGACCCCCCTGAGTTCGGGTGCATGGCCTCAGTGTGTCGTGCAGGGCCTCACTGTATTCTGAACAAACCGGGTGTACCACACGAAGACGTGCCTGAACAATTTGTGTTCTTTAGATGGGCCTGGGGTTCCTCAAATGTGTTCTATAGAATCTCTTTCTCACACCCTTCGACAGGATTGACGATCGTTTTACATCTCCAAGCGAAAAACCTGCGCACGAGGGTGCTGGCAAGATCGATTTTGACCTCTCTTTCACGGGAGGCCAGTGAGCTTCTGACATACGGCTCAAATAGAACTCATTCTTTGTGAACAGTAGGATGATATAGGATGGAGTGTCGACTATTTACAAAATTCAGACAGAGAGATACCTGGATCCTATCCTCCTTTGGTGATAAACATTGTGCCGGATTCCCAAGAAAAAACCGCCGAAGACCTGAAGACAGATCCGGTTCCACTGAAAAAGAGGGATGGTGAAAGGTTGGATCATGCACAATTTGCCTTTGTGCTGGAGAGTAGATTCTCTGGAACACACTCATTTCACAAGCCAACTTTGGAGCCTTCCCGTTTTCCGTTTCCCTTGCCCATCTTCCGCATGGCCTAAGAGCAGAACCATCACAAAATATAAGCAAACATGTGCCCAAGCAAAGACTTCCAAGAACGAAACCAGGAGTATGTCCCTCTTTCTTTGCAGCTGTGTCTTTAAGGTTCTTTACACAGTGGGACGCTCTCCAGAACGTTTTAGCTTGCCTCAGGCAACCAGCGTTGCAGAACCCATGGTTCCAGTCCAAAATCTTCTTGAAAATGACTTATATAGATCAAAACCTTCCAAACATTTCCGAACACTGAGTCCCGAAAATTACGCCGCGAGATTACGCCAGAGTTACGATGCGCTTTTGATGGGGGGCCACTTAGCAAACCATTGAAATTCTGAACAATAATCATTCACAACCCAAAATTCGGAGCTATTAGAACTGAAACAGCCAATGGAAATGCATTTTGGCGGCAATTTTCTTTCTGTTTAGGGACGCCCACCTGTGTCTTTTCAATTCTTTTCAACATGTGCATCGCACTATGCTGAATTCTCAGCGATAGTTAGAAGATCACCTAATGCTCACAGATCTGACTGAGCCAGCGTGAACCACTGTTGAAACTGGTGGAATGAGAAAACACCGGAACTGGAACAGGCAATTGAGCAAATGTTGCCAGCAACTTCACTGCATCCAGTGGGCTTTAAAGAGGAAATGCGGACCACACAGAATGCGACGGTCTCGAGAAAAACACGATCAAGTGACTTGGACAAACCTGCTGGACCAAATCCTGCAAAACTGTCGGAGCCGGACCCCGTCCAAGTGCGGGACTGAACCCCAAAAGTCACACCTCTCCGCCACCTTCGGTCCGTCCTGAAGAGCCTAAGGTCTATTCGCACCAGAAGATCCAGCTCTTGGATAAGAATGCCACTTCCACAAGCCTGCGGCGGCCAGACTCCGAAACAAGTGATCCAAGTTCGCCGAAGCTGCCTCGTCAGCGGCTGCCCATGTGGCTGCCGGAAAAAGAGCTTGGTCCAGGCCTATTGAATCTCCCAGAAGTGGAGCAGCTGTCGCAGAAACCAAGCTTTCACAAGTTCCAACAGAGGTTAAGTGACCTTATAGGACCCTACCAGGGTACCTATGGGATAGCCTATAGGGTTCTTCAACCTCTGTTGGTTGTCTATAGTTGTTGGTCTTTGCGATGCCTTGTTGGTGCGAATTCTGGCGCGTTCGATGTTCCGGTTTGTTTCTTTGATCTCTCCCTACAGGTCGGAACCGAACCTATATGGATTCCTGTTTTGGGGGGTGTGCAGCAACCAAATAAAGAATCCTTGGTAGGTCTTCTCACATTGGAGCCGCGAGCTGGGCCCCAAAGCTGCGAGCTGGGCACCGAAGTCAGTACGTCATTTTGGTTCGGATCCGGTCATACAAAAAGGTACGACAGGACTCTCCAAACCGAACAGTCAGTGTCTCCAATCACCATTCCTGAGAAGGTTAGTTACTTGGATCCCTAGGCTTCCTCTTCCTTGGCCCTGACTTAGGAAGCGCTGCTTGAAATTCATTCACATCCCGAAGACGGCCGGCTCTTCCATTGATCAGCTGGGCTTCAATTTGAAACTCAACTGGGGGCCTAATGACCGCTCCTTGTGGCTTGACTGCAGCGATATCCAGGGTTTCTCGTTGTTATCGTTCAGAGGACTGGAGCGAAGGAGGTTCCTTTGAGACGACCAACAGAGGTGGGTCAGAACCCTAGTGAAGGCTATCCCAGGAACCGGTACCCCAGGTTTTCCGGGTCCTATTGACGGTCACTTGACCTCTCTTGGGCTGGCAGAAGCAGTTTTTGGCCCTTTCCTTCAAAGGCATGTGAGACCATGGCAGGTGCCAGGCACGGTTCAGAGTGAGCCTGGCCGTGGATGGCGCGAACGGAAGCCAGGGGGGTGAACTCACTCCACTTGCATGTGTTTCCAGGGAGAGTCATGTGAGATCCTGGTGGAGGTGGATGTCGTGCCATATCGTTTCGGTGCCCCGTTTTCCGTGGTGACTCAGGCGCTGCAGCAACATGTCCTTGTGCCGGCAAACCACTCCGCTCCTGAGACCCTGTTGCTGGCCGAAATCGACCACCGCCTGCAGCCTTTGGCACTATCCACCCAGCACCTGGGCTCACGAGGACCATTGGAGCCGGCAGACTTGATGGGACCCCTTCCAGCGCCCTGCGGACGATGGGACCATATAAAAACCCATATGGAACATGAAATACGACGTTTCTCATGGTATACCATCCATGTGTTTCTTCAACGGTCCAGGTGGTGAATCTGCCTGCAGGGTGTTTTTGTTTTTTACTTTTTGTCTTCAAGGTCCGGTCTGGATGAGAGTTTCTAAAGTCATTTAAATCGACGAAGGCGTGGATGAACAACTGGCACAAATCTATGCCAACTGCTCCACCTTTTGCGTGGTCCGTGATCCCATCATGCGCTTCATGAGCGAATACTTCTACATGTCCAAGCACAAGCATGTCCAAGGACCCGATCTACTCGACAGCCGTGACCGGTGTGACCAGAGGGTTCGCCAGCTTTGTTGTGCTGGCGACGGATGATAAATGATGAAAAGGTACTGGAAAAGAATCTGGAAGAAATCGACTGCCTGTGGGTCACCTACCCAGCATATCCAAGCATCGCCCCAAAACAAGAAATACATCGCCCTGTCAACGGGACATAGGTCATGGCACCCGGGACACATGTTCCATGTGTTTGTTCCCACCGAACATGAACAGATGGTGACCAGGTCAACGGACCTACCAGGATTTGGCCATGACCCACAGTCGACTTTGGCTCCAACTGTTCGAGGTTTGCTGGTTCGGGGGGGGCTGGTGAGAATGAACCAGCGACTGGTGAAACTGGCATGAACATGGCCCTGTGGCTTGCCGATACTTAGAGGGAGCTATGAAGTTTGATGCTCCTTCTGTCAGGATCTTGCGATTTCGCTGGGGGGGTATGCATTGTGGGCAACTCGCCCAAAATGCACAAACCCCAGCTAGGCTTCCAACCGCCATTGAGCTATATAATGGGTGTTTGACCTCCCAGGCCTGAAGAGTGTGTTTTTCTATCCACTTGTTGGGGCTTTTTTACTTATCAAGAGTTTACATTAGCAGGAAGATTTAGACTTATCAACACACACACCCCAAAAAAAAGAGGAAAGAGGAAAAAAACGACTTGCGCCGCAACTCCTTCGCCATGTGCTCCTTGGAACTCCTTCCAAAGGAGCTACGAGGCGCTCACACATAGCGCAAACCATGGGTGGAAAACCTCCCCCTACATCCAACGAAGCTCAACATCAGCATGTTCTTCAAAGATCTGTTTGGTCGAGAAGGAGAGCCCGGTACCCTTCTCGACCAAAGAAAAGATTGGCAGGAAACCATGTGCAGACATCACAGTTTGTGCTACTTGTTGCCACTCACTCATCTATACAGTACATACCTATAACCTCTTCTTGGGCAGAAATTTCTGCCTATTGTGGGTAAAGGCGACTTTGCCCGTGCTTAGGCGTTCTTGTCCCCTGTAGGCGTTCTTCCCTCTGGGCGTTCTTGTCCTTTTGGTGGCATTGCTCAAATACATGAGGATCCACCCTCCACTGATTCCAGGAACTTTCATAGCGAGGTACACTTGTTTGTCAGGAATTAACTTAATGTTTCTCTTCTGATCTCTTTTGTATGGTTTTTAGTTGTTCTATGCTTTGATTCATTGCTTTAATATCTTTTTGCGTAGGTGTTCTTCCCGTCACTTAGGCGTTCTTACCCGTTACTTGGGCGTTCTTGCCCGTTACTTAGGCGTTCTTGCCCGTTCCCCCCTCACTACAATCAGTAGTTGGGTGGACAACGGAATGGTGTGAGCGACATGAGTTTCAACAACTTTAGACTGGGGATTAGCGTCAAGTGGCAGGCGATTGTTCTCAATTTTTGTCATTCAAATTCTGGCTCTGCCTCCTGCATGTAAGAATGCATGTGATTGTGCCTCGGCATTTTTGACCCTCGAGGCTGTAGCTTAGGCGTTCTTTGCAAAAACGGGCTGAATTTTCTGCCTAAATGGCGTTGGGCGGAAATTATTGCCTAATGAGGTTCTAGGTATATATATATATATATAGGATTATATAGGATTATATCGGATATGTTTTGAGTCATTTGAGTCTCGTTTGAGCAGCTACCTGTGAGACATCAGCCTCATCGGCCTTACCTTGCAAAGAATGAATGGGCTCAACAAATTGGCACGTGCCATGAGGATCATGAGGACAAATGGCAAGAAGTGAAACAAAAAAGTAACAAAACATGAAAAACCTATAGAACACCAAGTCGTGACGTGGCACCGCAAGCTGGTTCTGATTGGAATCCTTTTGGGGGCCTCCGCAGGATCCGGTGGCGAGACACGTTCGATGGTGAACGCATGCAGTCTTTGGATAAATTAGTTGATGAGATGGAAGCAACTGTGAGAGCAAGTGTGCCAACTGCACAAATGTTGCTTTCCCGCCCCCAAGAACAGCTGCAATACTCAGAAACCTGAACATGGATTTGAGGACAGCTTATTTGTTCTCATCCCAGTCCATCCAGTTGTCACTATTCTAAGTATAAGCAGTGTTTCCAGTCAAACGAACCAGCGGGCTTAAAACCTGAACGGCTTCTTATATGTTGGTACTGTAGCTGCCAGCACCAGCCAGGTGTGCTTTCCAAGCCATCCAGTAGGCGTTGGTTGAGTGGTGCTGGTGGGATACATTGCAACTGATATCATCACCCAGACACTCCATGTATGCCATATATGCCTACATTGGGGTGGGGTGGGGTGGTTTTGGGGTCGATGTAGGCATTATACCAGTCCCATGGAGTGTTTGGGTCATGGCCCCCGGTGATGTCATGGCCCCTCGTTCGGATGACGCCTCCACTTCAAACGGACGTAAGCGGTCTTCCACGTAAGCATGATGTTTTGATATCTTTTGTTTGGGAGTGGATGCGTTTTGTTTCATATGTTTTCCAAGGTGATGTTGAATCCATTTGGACCTGCTCCGTGTCCAGGAGACTTGTGCGATCCAGGCAAATTCGAGCAATACGCCAATGAGACCCTGCAGCTCGGCCGCAGAGGCTCCACGTGAGATGGACAGGAGGTTCCACAATAGATGATTAAATCATGGCGACAATCACAGGGTCATTGCAAGAGGTAGTATGCTGTCAGTCCCTATCATCAGTCCTTATCATCAGCCTGGATGACCATGAAGCTATGAAAACATATGAGAACCCACATCCTGCAGACCGCTCTTCTGTTCCAAAACGGCTTTGTCCGGCTTCCTCTTCGTGAAGACGCTCCGCCCATGCCCCACCACCTCTGAGTGACCGAGGCAACGTCTCGGGGAAGATCCGTTTGTCGATGATTGCCACCTGGTGCCACAAGCGTCGCTCGGCTGGGGGAGCCACACATCGATGGGAGGAGCCAGGCTGACGGGCTGGATGGAGCAGGTCAGGGTCCAAGAGAGGTCAAGTGACCTGAACGAACGGACCCGGAGAACCGAACGGGTACCGGTTCCTGGGAGAGCCGAACTAGGGTTCTGACCCACCTCTGTTGGTTTGCCTGTCTTTCGCACGCGGGCGTGTCTTTATGGTTGATGTCTGGCAAGGATTCAAGGGCACGCGGCTAGACGTGTTAGTCAGAATGTTCCAGTTGTTTGATGTTGTTTGGGTCTGTCCTGCTGAGGAGGTGCCGTTCATATGGAGCAGGTTCCTACACAGCTCGCTTCCCTCCAGACAGCTGACCGCTGTCTGTTTCTGAGCACCGGACGGCCACCAGAAACGAAAGACCTGGTCAGGAGGGTCCAACCAAGTGCACTATAAGACATCTACCAGGGCCCCCGATATAAGGGGTGGTTCATGGACATCCCTTAACCCTTTAAGGAGCAATATTTATAGACACCTATAGGGGCTCCTGGTATAAATACACGTGAATCAGTGTATGTTGCTTCACTAGTTCTTAGTCTGACTTTGATGGATGTCATTCGTGTTCTTTTGGGTGGGCACCTCCACACCCTTCCCAGGCTTGACAGCATCAAGGCTGCCTCCGTTGAAACCTTGCATTTCATATCATTTAATGTGCACTCCCTGGAACTAAGATGCAAGTAAAACATGGCCCCTTGGAAGACTCATTTCCTGTACAAACAGGGGTTTTGCCACTTCTGTGATCATCGCAGGGAGACTGTTGCGGGTAGTCCGTTTGTCACACAGGTTCACCGAACCCCAAACTTTCAACAAGTTCCGTTGGTGTTCCACTCCACAGGGCGTCCCGTTTTTTCCCGACACGGTCCGAAATGTTGGAGACGTCCCCAGGTACTATTTGAGCTCAAAGGATGGCCGCCGCTTGTGTGATCACATCATCCGCTACGAGCACTTGCAGACAGAACTGACCCAACTGTTGTGACTGGGCAAGCAGTGGACTCATCAAACAAATCACGGAAGCGGGGTGGTGCCATCGGAACATGGTCTTTCGAACTCGGGGCCATGCCATTGACATAACCATGCTTCGAGTCTCACAGATGCTCCGTGACTCAACCGGTGAACAACGGCACGGTCGAAACGTGTGAAACCGATTCGTCGAGTCAGATGGTCGACATGGAAAAACTCATGCATATTGACCCCTCACTCCACCCCAATGTAGGTAAATATGCCCATACATGGATGGTTTGGGCACGGGCACTGCTAGAGGCTTTGAACTTTATGTCCGTTTGCTTTTGCTACTATATAGGCATCCAATAGATGTTATTGACGTTTTCTTCGGACTGCGAGGTAGCGTCCCGCTTAGCGAGTTTTCACACTTCATGTCCGCCTGGTCCGGCACACTTTGCAGCTCACGTGGGAGACGCAACGGTTTTCATCCACCACCAGGAACTCCTTGTCAGATTGGCTATTGGATCTATCGGTTTGAGTCGTGTGCTTTACGCACATTTGGTCATTCTTGATCACTTTGCGCCCAGTTGTTTCTGCGTCATATATGCCTTGCGCAGCAGCAGCACCTTAAATCAATCCACCGCTGGTCCAAACGTGTGGAGACAAGGAGAAAAAACAACGCCTCGAGGAAGTGGTATCACAACCTGAGCGAGACAGCCAGCCAACTTCGAGTTGCTTGGTGGAACAGGATGGTCGCTGGGGTCGCTGAGAGTGGAGGTCCAAAGAACACTTCAGACATAGGAGGATTCGTTTCATTTTTGCGGTGTGTGTTTGGTCATTTGATGTTTACTAAGGAACATCGGCTAGTAGGGATGCTGTTGCTTCTCCCTTGTAGGATTATCACTTGAACCCTGGATGGGGGGATCACTTCTCATCCATCCCTGTGATTGTGACTCTCATTGTCATATTATCCCACTCGAGGCCGGTCACCTGGAGAGAGAGAACACCACATACCTACTGAATGTGGGGGCCGGACAACCAGAAAACAATGGGAACACCAATAACCACCCACCTCACGAGTCGCGGGTGGTGTCCTCACTCTCTTTCCAGCTACTCATTGAGTGAGGCTCTCATACCAGGACCCTCCAAGGGGTGTCCAATGAACTACCCCACACTACCTATAGGCTTCCAGACAGGGCACCCCTTGGAGGGTCCTGGTAAAGAGCTTTTGGGCTCATAGAGCTTGGTCCCGTTTCACATGACCTGAGACAGGCGTCAGTGATCGACCAGTGCGTGGTTTCGTCGAACTGCGCAGTTGTCTCGAGCTGTCATGGCGCAAGCCCATGGAGAAACGGGTGATATTGCATCATCACCTGTCTTTTCTGCCATTTCTTTGAGCCCAGAGCCAGATCCGACCCAGCCTTCGGACCCATCGAACCTATTCAAAGATTCTTTATTCTCATGAGCCCCCCCAATTAAGGTCCGCCAGAGTCCCCAAAAGTAGATTTGGCTTGGTAGAGCAACCACGCATGCCGCGCGATCACTCTGAGTCCGCCAGAGTCCCCAAAACACCGGCCGCCACGCCGCAGGTGGTGAACCAAGCCCGACGCTGCGACTCCGTGGCCATGTCCCCCCAGCTGCGTCGGCGCCTCCAAGATGCTCGGCACGATGCGGTGCCTCTCGCGTTTTCCTTCTTTTTGGGTGAGAACACGTCGCCAGGAACAAGCAAGGACGTGAAGTCGCATTTCTTTGGAGAGAACTTCTGGGGTTATTTCTGTCACAATGAGTAGGTCATGCTGAGTCGCGGCGGAGGCAGAATCCAGAGAATCTGTTCGTACCTGGACCTTCTGACCTCGTCACCTGGCTGGTTTCGCCCCAGCCCACTACCATCCGGGATCTCCAGACAGGACACAGTTCTTTGAAGCTCCAGGTTTGTATTTTGTTGAATTCGTTTTCAGCGCCGATTCCGGTCACGATTCCTGAGGAGTTCTTCCGCGTGGACTACGAACTCGGCTTGGGACAATTGGGACATTGAGCATCCACCGTCCACCGCGCCAATGCAGCGCGTCCAGTGATGATCTGCCCAAGTGTGGTGAGACTGAGTGTCGGTGTGCAGAGATCTGGAACAGAACCATGTATGGTACAATGGCTTAGAGTATGGTACTTGTGGTATTGAATGTAGTATTTATTAATGTTGCATGAATTTGGGAGTATTGGTGGTATGGTAGTTGTTTGGTAGTTGAACATTGTGTGATAAGCAGGATGTAGTTTTCTTAATTGTTGTGCTTTATTGCGCTTGGGAACCACTCAGGACTGATCGCCTCATAACGTGTTTCTTTTAAGACACATGTCCTCAATAAATCCTTAGTTTTTACCATATCACACGATATCACGCGCTGTTTGGTCTCAGAAGTAGCCTTGTGACTGGCCAGGTTAATAAAAGGCTCTTCAGCATTAGACACCTATTAAACCACAACCTTAGCCTAGGACTATTCATCCACACTCTGACTTCAAAACCAAGAAGTGGAGTCCCTCGACCCCCCCTGCCTGCTTGCCTCCAGCGTGTTCCTGAGAAACCAGGTGAGAAACTCTCGAGGTGAAGATTCAGCACTTCCCCAGACCCCCGACCGCCCCCGACCCCCCGCTGCCGCGCACGGCGCACGCTTCGCGCGGGAATAGAGCAGTTAGCTGGTTCGTGCGCGATTTGATTCGCAGGAAGAGAGGACTGGGACATGTGATTCCACCCTCCCTGGAGGTCCCTGACAATCTAGGAATCATGAGGGCATAGGTATCAAAAAAAATAAAAAGAGCATCAAAAAAAAATAAAAACAGGATTAACAAAAAATAAAAAGCGAATCAAAACACATATTCCTTGATAGGCCTCTTCTGCTGCTCTCCTGGCCTTGTGGTCTGCGGGTCCTCTGGTAATGTGGTCCCTTGGTCCTTTGGTCCCTTGGTCCTCTGGTCCACTGGTCCTTTGGTACCCTGGTCCCTTGGTCCTTTAGTCCACTGGTCCCCTAGTCCTCCGGTCTCCTGGTCCTCTGGTCCTGTGGTCCGCTGGTCCCCTGGTATCCTAGTCCTTCTGTCTCCTGGTCCGCTGGTCTTTTGCTCTCCTACGGCGCTCGTCTGTCGATCTCCTGGCCCCCTGCTTGCGCAAATAGAGGCTTGATTGCTTTCTACTAGAGGCAGCTCCCTGGGAAGAAAGTAGGTACTACTGCTACTGCTACCACTACTACTACTACTACTACTACTACTACTACTACTACTACTACTAC